TATTCCATATATATAATACATATATACCACATCTTCTTTATCCACTCATCTGTCGATAGCTATCTGGGCTCTTTCCATAGTGTGGCTATTGTGGACATTGTTGCTATAAACAGTGGGATGCAGGTGCCCCTTCGGATCACTACATTTGTATCTTTGGGGTAAATACCTAGAAGTATAATTGCTGGGTCATAGGTAGCTCTATTTTCAACTCTTTGAGGAACCTCCATACTGTTTTCTGGAGTGGCTGCACCAGCTTCCATCCCCACCAACAGTGTAAGAGGGTTCCCCTCTCTCCGCATCCTCACCAACATCTGTCATTTCCTGACTTGTCAATTTTAGCCATTTTGACTGGTGTGAGGTAGTATCCCAATGTGGTTTTGATTTGTATTTGCCTGATGCCAAGAGTGATGTTGAGCATTTGGAAACAGAGTTCTTTTTAAAAAAAATTTTTTTTAAAGATTCTATTTATTTACTTCAGAAAGAGAGTGAGCACTCCAGCAGGGACAGAGGGAGAGGGAGGAGCAGACACACCGCTGAGGAGGAAGACCAGTGTGGTTGCAGGGCTCCGTGACCCAAGCCAAAGGCAGATGCTTAACCAACTGAGCCATGCAGGCACCTGGAAACACAGTTTCTGTACTGCAGTTACTCAACCATCAGACACCAGACACGTGGGTTTTTCCATATGAAGCAATGCTCTATTTCTGTGTGGACAGCAGTTCAGCGTCCTGCAATTTAACTTCATTCTAATACTAACTGCCATTAACCCCATAGGTTAAGGGCTCTGGCCCACAAGACTGGCTCCCTTAGATGTTAATCTTAAGAAATGGGTTCCAGGTTACCCACAACTTCTGTCCATCTTGGCTACACACTGGGAGTTCCCATGATCCCCTCCTTGGGTTGGACAATTCCCTAGAAAGGCTCACAGAACTTAGGAAAATGCTTGACTTACTATTACTGACTTATTACAAAGGCTATTAAAGGGTACAAATGAACAATTGGATGAAAAGTTATATAAGATGGGGTCCTCAGCACAGGAGCCTCTGTTCCATGGTTTGGGCGCACCATCCTTCCAGGACATGCATGGATGCATTCCTGTTTATTAACCCAGAAGCTCTAGGAACCCCCATATTTTAGGGACTTCACGGGGGCTTCCTCAAGTAAGCATGATCAATGCAGTCTTCTGTGCTTTTTCCCCTCCCTGGAAGATTGGGGCTTAAAGTTCTAATCATGAGTTGGCATTTCTGGTGATCAGCCCCCACCCAAGGGCCCACTAATAATCATCCCATTAGGACAAAAGATGTTCCTGTCACCTAGGAAATTTCGAAGGATTTAGGAGCTCTGTGTAAGATACTCCACATGTTCAACCTCTAACCATCCCCTCCTTCCTAACCTCTGAAAGCCATGAATCTGTTCTCCATCCTAGAATTTTTTTTTAAGATTTTTATTTCTTTATTTGACAGAGAGAGTGAGTGAGAACAGAAGCAGGGGGAGTAAGAGAGGGAGAAGCAGGCTCCCCGCTGATCAGGAGGTGGGGAGCCCAATGTAGGCCTCGATCCCAGGACCTTGGGATCATGACCTGAGCTGAAGGCAGATGTTTGACCGACTGAGCCACCCAGGTCCCCCAGATTTCGTCTTTTTCAGACTCTTCTATCTATGCCCAGCAGACAGGGCTTTTTAAACTCAAAATAATACCCTTTAGATCCATCCAAGCTGGGTGTGCCACTAGTTCATTCCTTTCTGTTGTTGAATAGATGTACCATAGGAATTATTAAGACATAATTGGCATACAACTTTCTGTAAGTTTAGGGTGTACCATGTAATGACCTAATATATGTATATATTACAAAGTGATTACCACATACCATAGTTTAACCATGCACCTGTCATAGGACATTTTAGTTGTTCCTAGTATGGGGCTGTAACAAAGCTGCTATGAACTTTGAGCAGATGCTATATGCCAAAGTCAGTGCTCGTTGTCACTTTTGGTAATGGGTTCAGCTGCAAAAGTCAGAACTGTCCTCGAGCTAAGGTCAATGGCTTTCTCACTCACTCATTCATTCAACAAACAGCTATGACCCGCTATGTCACCCAGACACTGGCTAGGCATGTTAGGGAATACCAAGAGGATGCTGAGGGAAATTCTTTGAGGGGCATGTAATCTAGGAGAAATAGGACAAGAAAATAAATTTCCCAATCTACTGCAGAGTTGAAAGTGCTCTACTTCACAGCGTACATTCTGGGAATCCGGAAGAAGGAGATGCTTGTTGAAATAAATTAAGTCAAATTATACTTTATTTAACCTCAGCCACAAATTGTAAGCAATGTTCTGCAAGGAAACTCTGTCTCTCGGCCTCTTCAATTTCAATCCTTTAATACTTTGAACTAGGTACTGAGCTAAGTATCATGACACTGGTTTGGAGACGATTTCCTTGTCAGGTCTGACACTCTCCAGGGAACCTGCTTTGGAGAGCAAGGAAACTGTGCACTTACTGTTTTCTTCTCTTTGTGGTTCCACTAAAACTGACTCAGAGAATGCCATTTTAATATCTGACCATTATAATCAGGGGGAAAACCCTCTTATAATGTGGGAAAAAATGGTGAATACAAAACACCATCTATTCTGATGTCAAAATTTCCCTCTCACGTGCAAATTTATAACTTCTCCCTTTTCCCCAGCTTAGGTCTGATTCAGGCTCTGAAATACAGACTTGGGAAGAGCGGAGGTAATCTGCTCACCTCTCTCTTTTTTTTTTAAAGATTTTATTTATTTTTTCATGAAAGATGCACAGAGAGAGAGAGACACCCAGGCAGAGGGAGAGGCAGGCTCCATGCAGGGAGCCTGCTGTGGGACTCGATCCCAGGTCTCCAGGATCACACCCTGGGCTGGAGGCAGATGCTTAACCGCTGCCCCTGCTCACCTCTCTTTTGTCTACTTCCTCCTCATATGGCTGCTTTTCGTGCCTTTACAAGGTCAAGTGAACAAAGCCATAAGACATGGAGGGGGAAAAAGCTACTTTAACTTAGCTGGTGCTGTTTGCAAATCTTAGAATTGTCTCCTCCATTATGGAGGGTGTCCAAACAAAAGCTACTCTTTTCTCTCCTAGAATGCTGTGATGGTTAACTTTATGCATCAACCAGACTGGGCCACTGTGCCTGGAAATTCGGTCAAACATTATTCTAGACGTTTCCATGAAGGTGTTTTTTGGGTGAGAGTAACATTTAAATATGTGGACTTTGAGTAAAGCAGATTACCTCCCACAGTGTGGGTGGGCCCCATCCAACCAGTTGAAGGCCTTAATAAAACAAAGACTGACATCCCCTGAGCAAGGAGGAATTCTGTTAGTTGACTGTCTTTGGACCCTTCCCTGAGTTTTCAGCCTGCTGGCCTACCTCATCGAGTTTGGATATGCCAAGACTCCACAATCACAGTGACCCAATTTCTTAAACTCCTCTCTATATACACAAATCCTGTTATCCCTGCTCCGCTGAAAAACTCTAATACAGATGCTTTTGTCAATTTTCCAGAGACCTCTACTGAGGATCTCCACCATGACCCATTTTGACCTCAAGTCCCACCACAGGGGCCCTATTTCTAGCCAGTCTCTGCTGAAGAAATAGCCCTCTTAAGGCAAAGTTCCGTCAGGACAACACTATAGTCCTCCAAGGTGTGTAACTAGCTTGGATGGGACAGGAACCTTAGTCTTGCCAGGTAGAGATATGCAGCCCTTTCTCCTCCCTCTGCCATTTGGACAGCTTCAGTCACTAGCCATGATCAGACTTCAGACCACTGCTGGAGCAAAGGCTTTATGCACCCACGCTCTTAGGGGCACACTGCCAAGTTCCCTCAAGAAAGGAGTTAAATTCTTTTTTTTTTTTTAAAGATTTTTATTTATTTATTCTGAGAGAGGCAAAGAGACACAGGCAGAGGGATAAGCAGGCTCCCTGCAGGGAGTCTGATGGGGAACTCGATCCCAGGACCCCATGGTCTCGCCCTGAGTCAAAGACAGATGCTCAACCACTGAGCCGCCCGGGTGCCCTCCAATGAGTTACATTCGGTCATATAGTGGCTCCAAGGCAGGGTGGGGAGGCTCACTAGACCTAAACTTCATGAATTCCTTTAGGACTTCCCAAGGTCACCAGCCAGAGACAGCCTATGGGAAAGGTTTCCCAAATGGGGTGGTGATGCCCACATGGAAAAGGTGGTTGTCTGGCGTGAAGCTGATGTCTCTGCATTTAACAGGGCAGCCAGCTCAGCTTGGCATTTTGGAGTCGGGCCGGCCTAGCCTAAAAACCATCAGAGAGCAATGAAAACAAACAAACAAACAAACAAAAAAAAAACAAAAAACAAAACAAAACAAAACAAAAAAAAAAAAAAAACAGAGGGAATACCGGAGAAAACAGAATGAAAAAAAAAAAAAAAAAACCACAACACGGGGCAGCCTGGGTGGCTCAGCGGTTTAGCTCCTGCCTTTGGCCCAGGGCGTGACCCTGGAGACCCCCCCAGATCGAGTCCTGCATCGGGCTCCCTGCATGGAGCCCGCTTCTCCCTCTGCCTGTGTCTCTGCCTCTCTTTCTCTCTGTGTCTCTCATGCATAAATAAATAAATAAATATTTAAAAAAAAAAAAAACAACGAAGAAAACAGCACCTCTGATACAGGCTGGTTGGGTTGTAAATTAGATGCTTAAACATCTGCAAGGCTCCAGGCACGCAGCAGGTGCCGCCTTCGCGGACAGCCAATGCACTAAAAACAAATCGAAGGAAGAGCGTTGGGGCGCACGCGCCGGCAGCGAGCCGGAGGCTGCACGGCTGGCGCAGCGGCGCCCTCGGGTGGGCCCGTGCAGGCCGCACGGCAGCTCTCCCCGCCCCGCCTCCCAAGCCGCACTGCAGAAAAGCGCCGCCCGCGCAGCGGGCCGCGGCGGGGTCTAGCCGGAAGCGGCGGGACTTCCGGCCTCAGGGCGCAGGCGTGCGTGAGCGCAAGCCCCGCCCCGGAACTGCGGGGGACGCCGCAGCCGAGGAGAGGGGTGGGAGCGTGCGCGGCGGTTGGCCGGCGCGTGAGGGAGCCGCGGCGGGGTCTCCGCGCGGTGAGTAGCGGGGCCCGAGCGGGGCCGGGGGCGGGCTCCCGGGGGGCCCGGTGGGGGCCTCGAGCCCGGCGAGGGCGGCAGCCGGCCTCGGCGCCGGGGGTCCCTGCCCTGAACGTCCGGGCCCGGCGGCGTCGGCCTGTCAGGCCTGTCAGCGTCGTGCGTGAGGCGGTGAGGCGCGGGCCCGGCCGCTCGCCCCCGGGCGCCTGACCGCCCCCGCCGTGGTGGAAGCCGGTGCCGTGCGGTCGCTGCGGAGCTGCGGCGGTGGGTGAAGCCTCCCTGCGCGCCGACGTGCCGAGCCCGCGAGGCGCCATGCCCGGCGGCTGCTGACGTGCGTCACTTCTTTGTGCGTCTGTGGAACGGCCCCCCTTGGGAAGGACACCTTCGTCATCCCCATTTGACAGGCGGGGAGACTGAGGCCCACACAGATGGAGACGCCCTCCGCAGCCCCAGAGCCGGTCCGGGTGTGCACTGCCGTTTACCTTTGTCCCCGCCGCCCCTTGGTCTTTCTGGAACGGGAGAGACCGTGGATGGGGTTCCGTTCCAGGGGCCTCTGTTGAAATGTGCTGCAGACCACTTACAGTGTCACGAGAAAGCTGGACGGGCGAAGGCCAGAATGGCGGGAATAGGCATTTGCCTTCTTGGGGGCCAGGCTGGAGCCCTTGCAAGTGAAGCCGGCCTCTCCAGCCCCCCTTAACTCCCCACGTTCTTTTTTTTTTTTTTTTTAAGATTTTATTTATTTATTCATGAGAGACACCGAGAGAGGGGCAGAGACACAGGCAGAGGGAGAAGCAGGCTCCCTGAGGGGAGCCCGATGTGGGACTCGATCCCGGGACCCCAGAGTCACGCCCTGAGCTGAAGGCAGACGCTCAACCACGGAGCCACCCAGGTGCTCCCTCTCCCTTTGTTTATCATCTATCTATCTATCTATCTATCTATCTATCTATCTATCTATCTATCTATTTATTTATGATAGGGAGGGAGGGGCAGAGACACAGGAGGAGGGAGAAGCAGGCTCCATGCCAGTAGCCCAACGTGGGACTCGATCCCGGGACTCCAGGATCGCGCCCTGGGTCAAAGGCAGACACTAAACCGCTGAGCCACCCAGGGATCCCTCCCTCTCCCTTTTAAAAAGGTGAGAACACTGAGGTTCAGGGAGGAACAAGCACCACTGTCCAGTGGCACACAAGTGGTAGATATTGGATCTGGAATCCAAACCAGATCTGGCGCTCACGTCTGTGCCCCTCCATCTTCTGGGTATCCTCTGTTCCAGGCCAACTTGCCTGCTCTGTTGGTATCTCTCTTCTCTCTGATCTTCTGTATCTCTTGTATCTTCACTTCTTTGTAGGGCCTGATAACTCTGTAGGCTGCTCAGAAAATATATGTTGCCTCAGAACCCTGTGCTCTGCAGTTGCTGACCTAATGGGACACTTCTCTCCTTTTCTTTTCAGCAACCATGAAGTTGAAGGAGACAAAATCAAGGCCAAAGCCACCAAGCTATGGCAGATTTCAGACAAAGGGAATCAAAGTTGTGGGAAAATGGAAGCAGGTGGAGATTGACCCAAATATGTTTGCAGATGGACAGATGGATGACTTGGTGTGCTTTGAGGAACTGACAGATTACCAGTTGGTCTCCCCTGCCAAAAATTCCTTCAGTCTCTTTTCCAAGGAGGAGCCCAAGAAGAGAAAGGCACAGGCTGTTTCAGGAGGGGAGGAAGGAGAGTCTAGCTCCTCAAAGAAAAAGATAAAGTTGAAGAAGAATAAAGATACGGAAACTGAAGGAACCAGTGCGCAGAAAGAGTTTGAAGTCAGAGATGCTGGGCCACAGCCCCAGGGAGATGGCACAGTTTATCCTGATCCAGAGATAGAGGAGGTGGTATCAGAAGGCTCAACTCCGAATGTGCCAAAAAAGAAAAAAAAGAAAGGAAAAAAAAAATTGGAGCCTTCCCAGGGTACTGCTCCAAAGGTGCCCAAAAAAGCAAAGACATGGATGCCTGAAATGCATGACCATAAGGCAGATGTAACAGCTTGGAAAGATCTATTTGTACCCAAGCCAGTTCTCCGAGCACTCAGCTTTCTAGGCTTCTCTGCACCCACGCCAATCCAAGCTCTGACCTTGGCACCTGCCATCCGTGACAAACTGGACATCCTTGGGGCTGCTGAGACGGGTAAGGGCATCCTTAGCTGCCTGGGGTAAGATTGCTTCTGGGTCAAACTTACAGCTGCTAATGGGTTGGGTAGCTTGGGGAGAGAGGAGCTTGGAGACATAACCACAAAAGCAATGTTGAATGAAGGTGTTCAGAAGTCAGGCAGCTCTGGATTGAAATCTGCCACTTTCTGATTGGTACCCTGGACAGATGCCTTTACCTCTCTGATCCCTGTAGGTCCTATTATAAAATGGAGAATAATGCCGGTACTTGCTTGCTTGCTTGCTTGTTTATTTATTTTTATTTAGCCTTGTGGGTTAAATGTAAATGCCAAAGTAAAGTTTACACAGTACATTGTAAGTGACTTGCAAATGGTAGTTTTTTGTTTGTTTTGGTTTGGTTTGGTTTTTTAGTATTCTTGAGCCACCTTAAATGGCTCGGGGGTAAAGTAGGGTTAAGATTAGCTATCTAGATAGGTAGATCTTCATTAGTATAAAGAATAAATGTCTAATTCTCAAAGAGTTGTCCAGAGATAAAGGGGCTGCTTTGGGAATTGGTGAATTTATTGTTATTGGAAGGATTTGTGTGATAGAAAACCATTAGGTGGATTTTGTAGGTAGATGTTGGCACGAGGTGACTGTTGGGTCTAGGCAGTATTTAAAGTTCCCTCATTCCCTGGGCCACCTAACACTTTATAAAGCAATGATAGGTTGACTAGACCTCGATAGACTGAATTACTAACTGAAGGGAGGAGCTTGTACTGCTTGTAACTAAGTCCAACTAGACCAGCAGTAACTGATAGAAATAAATATATAACATGAGCTACGTACATGATTTTAAATTTTCTAGGAGCCATATTTTAAAAAGGTAAAAAAACAGGTAAAAGTTAATTTTAATGATGTATTTAATCAATTATATAAAAATATCAGTATGTAGTTAATGTAAAATTGAGGTATTTTAATTCTTTTTATACTGTTTTCAAAACCTAGCCTGTATTTCGAACTTGACACTCATCGATTTAGAGTAACCACATTTTACATGCTTGATAGCCATACATGGCTAGTGACTGTTAGATGGTATGGTATAGAACTAGACCATCTAGACACTTTGTGCCTTGGGTTTCTGGAAAGAGTGGTCAGAAAACGCTCGGTGAGGTCTTGTAGAAGAGTCACATAAGTGGAAGAGTGAGGAAGCCTCAGGGGATGGAAGTAATAATAATAAATTAGAACTCTTTTTTAGCATTTAAAATGTATCATGCACAGTGTTAAGTACATTATATTGATGAACTCAGTTCTCAAAATCACCCTGAGAGGGGTTGCATCATTCTCATCTTACTGATGAGGAAACTCAGCCTCACAAAAGACAATATCCCTAAAACCGCAGCTGAAAGTAGTGGTACCTGAATTCTAGACTAGGTCTGTGTGCTCTTAAGCATTCTGCTACACTGCTTTGGTTTCTGCAGAAGCCTGGAAATGGGTGTCTGGAGGCAGAGGCAAAGTTGTATCAGCCACTGTGGCTAGAGCCTGACATTTGGATTCATACTGCAGTTGTTACTGGGTATCCCCATAGAATGCTGTGAATCTGCAGGTCCAAGATTCACAAGGACTTTTGGGGCTGTGGACAAATTGCTGCGCAAACAGATCATGAATATCCATCACCCCCAAAAGATGCTTTGGGCCCTTTTTGTAGTCTCTCCTGGGCCCCACTCCTTGTCCATCCCCAGGACAACCTCCGATATACTTTCTGTCACCAGATTAATTTGCATTTTCCAGAATTTTATATAATGGAATCATACACTATGTACTTTTGGGAGGGGGTTGGTGTTTGGCTGCTTCACTCAGCATACTTTGAGATTCAGTCATATTATTGCAAGTGCTAATAGTTCATTCCTTTTTATTGGTAATATTCTAGTGTAAGGATATAGCACAGTTTACCTATCTGTTGATAGATATTTTTGTTCTTTCTAGTTTTGGGCTCTGCAAATAAAACTATCATAAATACGGGCACGTGGTGGCTCAGTCGGTTAAGCCTCTAACTCTTGGTTTCAGCTCAGGTTATGATCTCATGGTGGTGAGAATGATCCCCACATCAGACTCCACACTCAGCATGGAGTCTGCTTGATATTCTCTCTCCCTTCCCCTCTCTCCTCCACCCCCTGTGCATGTGTGTGCTTGCTCCCCACCCAATAAATAAATAAATAAATAAATAAATAAATAAAATCTTAAAAAACTATCATAAATATTGGTGTGTTAGTCTTTGGGTATATGCTTTAATTTCTTTTTGGTAAACACCTGTGTAAGAGCTAGGTTTTATTTTTTTTTATTTTATTTTATTTTTTATTTATTTATTTATGATAGTCACAGAGAGAGAGAGAGAGGCAGAGACACAGGCAGAGGGAGAAGCAGGCTCCATGCACCGGGAGCCCGACGTGGGACTGGATCCCGGGTCTCCAGGATCGCGCCCTGGGCCAAAGGCAGGCGCCAAACCGCTGCGCCACCCAGGGATCCCAAGAGCTAGGTTTTATAATAAATGTTACTTTCTGGGAATTTTCCCAAGAGATTATACCATTTTCCATACCCACCAAGTCATGAGTTTGAATTGGTCCCTGTCCTTGCCAATACTGGGTATGTTAGAGATTGTGAGAGAGAGTTATAAGGAGAGGGAGAAGCAGGCTTCCCCATAAGCAGAGAGCCTGACTTAGAGCTTGATCCCAAGACCTTGGGATCGCATGAACTGAGCCAAAGTAGATGCTTATTGGCTGAGTCACCCAGCCACTCTTATCTTGCCCATTTTTAAATTGGATTGTTGTTTTCTTATTACTGAATTCATGATATATGCTGGATATACCCCTTTATCAGATATGTGATTTAGGATTTTTTTCTCCCAGTGTCTTTGTCTTTTTATTTTCTTTACAGTATCTTTCAAAAGAACAGTTCTTTATTTTGATGAAGTTCTATCACTTTCCTTTTTACCAATGTGCTTATCTACAAACCTTTTGCCTAACCCAAGATCACAAAGATTTTCTCCATTGTTTTCTTCTAGAAGTGTTACTAGTTTTAGGTTTTATGTTTCAGTCTGTGATCTTTATTGGGTAAACTTTTGTTTACAGTGAGAAGTGTGGATCACAGTTCCTTTTTTTCCCCGAATATGGATATCCAGCATTGTTATTTAAAAAACTATCTTTTTCTCCACTAAATTGCCTTTGTATCAAGTCAACTTGTCAGTTTCTACAGAGAGCCAGCTGGTATTTGGATTGAGATTGCATTGATTATAAAGCAAACTGAGGACAAATGACGTCTGGACCATACAGAATCTTTCTGTCCATGAATGTAGTATATCCATTTTTTTTTGGTCTTTTGTTTTGTAGTTTTTAGTATATGCACATTGGTTATTAGATTTGTCCTTAAATATTTCGTATTTTTGATGCTATTGTAAATGGCAACTTAAATTTTTCTATTTCAGATCGTTGCTAACAAATAGAAATGTGGAGCATAGAAATGTGGTGGCTTAATGTTGAGCATCTGCCTTTGGCCCAGGGCGCAATCCTTGAGTCCCAGGATTAAGTCCTGTGTCGGGCTCCCGTCGTGGAGCCTGCTTCTCCCTCTGCCTCTCTCTCTCCTCTCTCTATGTCTATCATGAATGAATAAATAAATAAATAAATAAATCTTTAAAAAAAAAAGAAATGTGATAGCTTTGTATATTGACCTTATTTCCTGCAACTTGGTACCATCAAGTAGGTTTTTTTTCCTTTTTTTTTAAGATTTTATTTATTCATCCATTTTAGAGAGAGAGAAAGTGCAAGGACAGGAGGAGAAAGAGAGAATCCCAAGCCAACTCTGTGCAACACAGATCTCAATCTCACAACCCTGAGATCATGACCTGCACCAAAATCGTCAGATGCTTAACCAACTGAACTACCCAGGTGCCTCCCATCTAGTAGTTTCTTAAAGAGTACATCAGATGTTCTATAGTTTTTATTCAGTCTAGATGCCTCTCGTTTTTGTCTTACTGCACTAAAGCCTCCAGTACAATTTTGAATTGAAGTGGTATGGGGGCAGGCACCATTATTTTGTTCCTGATCTTTGGGGGACAGTACTTAGTCTTTCATCATTAAGTTTAATGTTAATTCTAGGTTTTTCATAGATGACCCTTTATCAGATTGAGAAAATTCTCTTCAGTTCCTAGTTTGCTGAACATTTTTATCAGGAACAGTTGTTGGGTTTTTTGAAATGCTCTTTCTGCATTTATTAAGAGAAGTGGTTTTTCATTTAGTCTATCAATATGGTAAATTACACTAATTTTTCAAATACTAAACTTATATTCCTGAGATAAACCATATTTGGTCACAGTGTATTTTTCCACTTATGTATTGGATTTGATTTGCTAAACTTTTGTTGATAATTTTTGAGTTTCTGTTCATGGGATATTAGTTTGTAGTTTTCTAGTAATGTCTTTGGTTTTGGAATCAGAGTAATGCAGGCCTTGTAATGACTTTTGAAGTATTCTTGTTAGTTTTCTGAAAGAGTTTGTACAGAATTGGTATTTTTTTTTCTTCCTTAAATATTTGGTAGAATTCATTTGTGCCTGCACAGATGAATTTGTAAGATGGGCTTTAACTACGAATTTAATTGCCTTAATGTATTAGAAATATTTGTTTTACTTAATTTTTCTTGCGTGATAGATTTCATTGCAGTTCATTAGTTTTTGTTTCCTGTGTTTTGAAGCTCTGTTATATTTAGGTGTATAAATGTTGAGGACTATTATATCCTGTAAATTAACTTATTCCTTTGATTACTAAATGGCCCTCTTTATCCCCATAGTATTTCTAAAATCTTCTCGATCTGATATTAATGTACCTTTTTTTTAAAGATTTTATTTATTTATTCATGAGAGACAGAGAGGCACAGAGACACAGGCAGAGGGAGAAGCAGGCTCCATGCAAGGAGCCCAATGTGGGACTCGATCCCAGGACTCCGAGATCACACCCTGAGCTGAAGGCAGATGCTCAAACATCCCCTTAATGTACCTTTTCTAGTATTATTTTGATTAATGTTAGCATGGTGTGTTTTGCATACTTGTATTTTTTCAGATTTTATTTTTAAGTAATCACTACACCCAACATCGGGCTCGAATTTAACAATCCCAAGATCAAGAGTCACAAGCTCTATCAACTGAGCCTGCTGATGCCACTTCTACTTTTAATTTATGTCATTGTATTTAAAGTGGGTTTGTTGAAGCTTCTAGGTTGGTAAACACATCTTTGTGCTGAGAGGGTGGTGCACCCCCAGTTCCACAGGGACAGAAGCCCTTGGGACCTCAGACCTTGTCTTATGTGCCTCTTCATTTGACTTTTCATTTGTATCCTTTATCATATGCTTTATATTAAACTGAGCCTAGTAAAAAAATAAAATAAAATGGTGTTTGTGGAGAGAGCATAGGTTGCGTCTTGCTGTCTCATCATTCTGGTTGTTTCTTATTTGTTGAGGTCGTTTCTATTTAATGTGATTATTGATAATAATTGAGTTGTAATTTGTTATTTTGCTATTCTGTTTTTCCTCTTCTTTTGGACTGAATGTTTTTTGTGATGGAATTTTATTTCCTTTATTGATCTTCTTAGTTGTAACTGTTACATCCTTTTAGTGTTTGCTTTTTAGATTCATAGTACAGATCTTCAACGTGTCATAGTCCATCTTCAAATAGTAATGTATTATATTACATATAGTACAAGAATCTTACAAGACTATATCTCCCTTCTCCTTTACATTATGCTTTTTGTTCTACACTTTATGTGTTAGAAATCCAAAATACATTTTTATGTTTAATAGTTCCAAGGTTAAAAAAGTTTAAACTTAAATAATATATTTAAGAAAAAGACATCTTTCATATTTACCCATGTCACTATTACTGTTTCTGGTACTCTTCCTTTGTACAGACATGGAATTTCATCCAGTAGCATCCTCTGCTTGGAAGACTCGCTTTAGTACTTCTTGTAGTTCAGGTTTGCTGATAATAAATGATTCAGCTTTTGTGTGGCCCTAAACGTCTTTATTTTGCATTTATTTCGAAAGGAATTTTTGCTAAGTTTAGAGCTCTAGGTTGTCCAGTTCTTTTTTTATGTCTTCAAATAAAGATACTGTCTTCTAGTTTTGGTTTCTGATGTAAAGTACTGTTTTATCTGAAGTGTTAAGGGCCTTTGATCTTTTTATTTCTTATAATTCTTGTTTATAGTGTCTTGTGGGTTATTTTTTTACTCAGAGCTGCTCATTTTCCTTTGAAAATTACTTGTGAGAATTCTTTTTTCAATAGGTGTTTTGTTTTTTTTAAGATTTTATTAATTTGGGAGAGCACACACCAGCTAGGGGAGGAGCAGAGAGAGAATACCTCCAGCAGACTGCGCTGAGTGTAGAGTCTGACTTGGGGCTCAATTTCATGACTGAGATCATGACCCAAGCTGAAACCAGGATTCGAGTCACCCATGTGCCTCTTGTGAGAATTCTTTGAGGCCTATGATAAAGGTTCTTCCTCCAGAGATCATTTATTTGCTTTAGCTGGGAGACTATAACTTTGTAACTACTTTAAATTCTCAACTTGAGTTGTCTTGTTTGTATTAACCACCCAGAGGATGTGAATTTGGGCTTCATACACATTCAAAAATCAGTTTGAAAATGTTAAGGCATAGAAAGAAGTGTGATCATTTTAAATTTTCTCAAAAACTAAGAAAATTGTCTTCTACTCCCATTTTCTCCACCAAAGGTCTTAGGAAACTATACATAGATTTCCATTCCCCACACCCTAATGTGGTGGTTTTTTTTTTTTTCAAAATAATGACAAAACTTGTTTAGAGTTTTGGTGCTTGGACTTTGTGTATAATGCACATTGGTGACCTCAGGCCTCAGTGTTAGTCTGCTAGACTTTTTCTCAGGCTTTTAATTCCAGATGCCTTCTGCTTGCAGTGCTGTTGGGGAACCTGTGCTGAGTGGAGGAGCTTTGGGTTGGTCATGGTGGCACTTGGCTATCAGGTTCCCTTATTCTGTGTTAAAGAAAGATGCCTAGGGATCCCTGGGTGGTGCAGCAGTTTAGCGCCTGCCTTTGGCCCAGAGCGCGATCCTGGAGACCCAGGATCGAATCCCACGTCGGGCTCCTGGTGCATGGAGCCTGCTTCACCCTCTTCCTGTGTCTCTGCCTCTCTCTCTCACTGTGTGCCTATCATAAATAAATAAAAATTAAAAAAATTATAAAAAAAAAAGAAAGATGCCTAGACAAAAAAGTAAGTGTGTTTATCGGTTCACACTTTTTTGTTTTTGTTTTACTTCTAAGGAAGTGGAAAAACTCTTGCCTTTGCCATTCCAATGATCCATACAGTACTCCAGTGGCAGGTGAAAAATAAACGTACTCCAGCTGTAAGTAACACAGGAGCATTACCTGGTGAGACCAGAACGGAGGCTAGAACTGAGTCTGAAGTTTTGCCTGATGAGATTGGAATAGAGGGTGAAGCCCTGCCCAGTGAAGCTGGAGTGAAGGCTAGAGCAACACCCAGCAAGGTCAAGACTTCAGCTGCTGTTTCAGACCAGATGCTACCCTTCTCTGATGATGATGCTGGTGAAGGACCTTCTTCCCTAATCAAGAATACCATCCCCAAACAGGATGAAGACAAAGAGGAAAAGCTAGATGAAGAAGAGACTGGAAGGTTGAAGCAAGAGTTGGGTGGCAAAATGGCCACTTGTAAAGCACATCCAAAGCGCCCTCTCCTTGGACTGGTTCTGACTCCTACTAGGGAGCTCGCTGTCCAGGTCAAGCAACACATTGATGCTGTGGCCAAGTTTACAGGTGAGGTTTAATTCGATTTAATAAATACTTCCTGAGAGGATCCTAGATGCTGGGGTGGCAAAGATGAATGAGCTGTGGCTCCTCCCTTAAGGGGAAATCTCTCTTACCTGCCAGAGAATTAAGCCTTATAGAAAACTGTTTGAGTGACACTTTCTCCATTCTCCCAAGGATGACACATTTCTGTGCCATTCTAGATGCAAAGAAGTTAGTTTATTGGATGTGGTGGATACTTAGGGCAGGAGTTGGCAAAGTACCTTTTTTTTTTTTTTTGTAAAGTGCAGCCACACCCATTTATTTACATAGTGTCTGTGGCTGTTGCACTACGATGGAGGAATGAAGTAAAGTTAGTAGTTCTGACAGGTTTAGCTCACAAGGCCAAAATGCTTACTATTGACACTTTAAGAAAAAGTTTGCCGACATCTGTCTTAGGGCACTAACATATATCTTCTCATGGAATTCCTTTCTGGAAAAGCTGCTCAGTAAGAATTTTAACTTTATAGCAGCAACAGTTGCAACTTTATAGTAAGCAACAGTGACTTACCAAGCTCTTATTATGTGCCAGGCACTTTACTAAGTATTTTGCCTACATGATCCTGTGTTTTCTTTCCTCTTTGGATACCTTAAGAAGTCATCCCAGAGAACAGAACAGAACAGACAATAGGCATTAGAGGAGGCTCATATTAGTTCGAATTGAGGGAGATGGGCAGGACTTTCTAGGGAGATGTGTCACAGCTGAGAGTGACATCATTTCCAGCATTGTGGTACACTACTGTTTTCCTGGAACTTTGGATGTATATATGCCTGGGTTCAAATCCAGCTCTTCTATTGTTGATAAGGGGGAGAGAATACAAAGAAATGAAGTTTGGGAACTAGGCAAGGCCCAGACCATAGAAGACTTGATTATGCCTTCTAGGAGTGGTACCAAGAGGCAGGCCAGGCTCACTCTTTTGGCTCACCATCCCCCACACCTCCTAAAGAGAGGAGAGCTATCCTGGTGATTGATTGTCTCTGTTAATCTGGGGTTGCCTGTGTCAGCCATGGCAGAAAATAGGCAGCCAAACTGAATAACAGGGTCTCATATTTTGTGTACTATAGGAATTAAAACTGCTATTTTGGTTGGTGGAATGTCTACCCAGAAACAGCAGAGGATGCTGAACCGCCAGCCAGAGATTGTAGTCGCCACTCCGGGCCGGCTCTGGGAGCTAATTAAAGAAAAGCACCCTCATTTGAGCAACCTTAGGCAGCTCAGGTAAGTGACAATACTTCCCCTTCTCTTTCACTCCCTTTTCTGTTGTGGGCCTGAGGTAACATGATTGTGTGTGCACTGCCTTCTCCCTATCACTAAGTGCCATGGTGTGGTACCAGCCAGAGTTTGGCCTTCAGAATACCTTGCATGAGGGAGATTAATTGAGCCCCTGGTGGTGGTGGTGGTGTTTGTGTATTTCTGTGTTGAGGGTGGAGATGGTAGTTAAGTGTGCTATATAAATGACTCCTCAAGTTATGTGGATCTCTCTGGATCTGCAGGTGCCTGGTGGTGGATGAGGCTGATCGGATGGTTGAGAAAGGCCACTTTGCTGAGCTCTCACAGCTGCTAGAGATGCTTGGTGACTCCCAGTACAACCCAAAGAGACAGACGCTTATTTTTTCTGCCACATTGACCCTGGTACATCAAGCTCCTGCTCGAATCCTTCACAAGAAACACACTAAGAAAATTGACAAAACTGCCAAACTTGACCTCTTTGTGCAGAAGATTGGTATGCGGGGCAAGCCCAAGGTCATTGACCTGACCAGAAATGAGGCCACGGTGGAGACACTGACAGAGACCAAGATTCATTGTGAGACTGATGAGAAAGATTTATATCTGTACTACTTCCTGATGCAGTATCCAGGCCGCACCTTAGTGTTTGCCAACAGTATCTCATGTATCAAACGCCTCTCTGGGCTCCTCAAAGTCCTGGATATCATGCCACTGACCCTACATGCCTGCATGCACCAGAAGCAGAGGCTGAGAAACCTGGAGCAGTTTGCTCGTCTGGAAGAGTAAGTCAGGCCTGTACCCAGAGCCCAGGTTCTAGCCATTAGGTCAAGGTTGCCAGGATGGTGGTGAGATGGTGGGAAGCTATAGAAGATAGCTCTTTTTTACACATCATGAAGCAGGCTTACTCTCATCTAATGCATTTGGTTGCTGATAATGCTCAACAGAAACTTTCCTACTTATAAGTAATGGTGATAATAGTACCTACTTTTGTGGAACACTTAACAATTGAGTAAGTATCATACTGTCATTTTAAATATAGTACCACATTCATTCAGTTCTAACATCCTTGAGAAGTAAAATAGATTGATGGTTAAGAATACAGACAGGCACCAGACTGCTTAAGATCAGGACCATGGCTGTGCTACTTCTAGCTGGCCAAATTACCTCAGTGTGTTTCAGTTTTCTCATAATTGGCATAATAGTATATTGGTAGAAGCTAATGGAGAGGGTTGTTAGGAAGATTAGAGGAATTTATACATATAAAGCATTTAGAACAATGTCTGGCCCAAGGTATGTATTTGCTGAATGTTAGCTTTAATACCACTTATCATTTATTGTCATTATTCTCATTTTATAAATTGATAAGCAGATCAGCTTGCCCACAGTTTCTCATCCTGAAAGTGACAGAGCTGGACCTCAGACAAAGCAGTCAGACCCAGAGCTCATGCTTTGTCCTACCATGCTGTCATTGTGCATCTCCTTTTGGGTCAGACTGATGACCAGGGGCAGTGTGCATGTTTTCAGGATTAGGCCTGAGAATTGGAGGTTAAGCCTAAGTTGACTTTTGTCCAGTATAATGTCAAGTTACAGGGTGATTAGTTTCTAGAACAAGTGTCTGGTTTATCTCCCTGGGAATGTTGCTAGGTAGAAGTTAATGGTTTATGTGGTGTCTAAGTGGGGCATCTGTCTGATCAGGTGGGGGCCCCCAAATGTGGGGCAACAATCGGGGGGAAACCAATGGTGCCGGTGATGAAAGAATTCACCTGAGGGAGAACAAAGGCGATAGGAGTTTATTGAATACACCACAAGGGAGCGAGCGGGTGGGCAGGCCAGCAGAGGAGAGGCTGTCTGCAATGAGGCAGTAAGTGGGGATGTTTTTAAAGGGAGAAGATGAGGAAGTATGGCCATGTATGGCATTCTCCCTTTTTCAGTAACTGTGCCTACTTGTAAGTAGTCTGTTGGTCACTTAGAGCCTATGGGTATGTTGGGGTGGGGTCACCTGATAGGCCTGTCTGTATTTAGCCACATGGTAGAGTGGACTCTGTATAGTTCATTTTTCAAGTCTGTTTACCTCTATGTTTTATTTGATCAGGATCAAATACTCAGTAGGTGTTAAGAACCTAATTAATGATAGCTATTAGTTATTATTAACGAGCTTTGTCTCTCTATCACAGTTGTGTTCTTCTGGCAACAGATGTGGCAGCTCGGGGCCTGGATATTCCTAAAGTCCAGCATGTCATCCATTACCAGGTAGGGGCATTAGGGAATTTGTTGCATTGAATGGGAAATGTTTTAAGCAAAGGTTTGGGAAGAGAGGAAAGAGAGGGAGGAGGAATTGTTGGTCTCAAGGCCTAATGCAGCAGAGTACCACTGTCATCTCGTGACTGATTAGCTGCTGTAATTTTTTGAAAACTCAAGAGATTTATTCTCAAAAAACCCATTGGCACTTCTGATACCACATAGCCCCTCTCTCTTTGATTTGAGCAAACTAATTGATATTGGCAGGTTAGAGTCTTATTTTCTTTATGGAATGGGCATAGTAGCATGTGAACTGGTTACCCTGGTAGAAATAGAAGAGTGTGGTGATAGGACCTGCCTAGACTTAAATCCCTGTTGTGTAACCTTGAGCAAGCTGTTTAATCTCTTTCTGCCTCAGTCTTTGTTTAATGAAAGTTATTACAGTGTCTACTTTAAGTTTTTTTGTTTTTGTTTTCATTTTTTTTATAATTTGGGAGAGAGGTTGAGAGTGAGCATGAGCAGGGAGGGGAAAGACAGAGCGAGAGGGAGAGGCAGACTCCCCAGTGAGCAGGGAGCCCATTGTGGGGCCTGATCTCAAGACCCCAAGATCATGATCTGAGCTGAAGGAGACACAACTGATTGAGCCACCCAGGCGTCCCTTTTTAAGTTCTTATTAAGGCAAAATAAATGGGTGAACAGCTTAGACACCAGGCACATCCTGAGCACTTACTAAATGTTAGCTGCTCTTAATACTGACAATATTAGTGTATGCACCTGGCAAATCCTAGCATAGAGTGGTGGTTAGGAGTCTAGGCTTCAGGGCTACCCTTGTAAGGTTCAAATGCTTATAGCCTGCTTCATAGTCTGTTAGCTTGGGCTGGGCTAACATCTTAACCCAGATGTTAAGATGTTACTTAACATCTCTGGTTTCACTTGTCATTATTTGTAAATTGGAAGTGATGATGCAGCCTAACCTCTTGGGTTACCATGAGAATTAAATGAGTTCCTGCTGATGAGACCCCTTGCACAGTGTTCATTACTTAGGAAGTGGTAGCTATTGTGGTGTTATTATTTCTTCCTTCTGATCCTTCATGGTTTAAAAAATCTTTCAGGGTGTATGGGCACCAGGGTACCTCAGTTGGCTGGGCATATGACTCTTGATTTCAGCTCAGGTCATGATCCCATGGATAGTGAGATCAAGCCCTTTGTTGGGCTCTGAGCTCACTGGGGAGTCTGCTTGAAGATTCTCTCCCTTTGCTCACTCCCACATGCATGCAGATGCACTCTCTCCTCTTTCTCTCAAATAAAATCTTTCAGGGTGCCAATTCAATTTAGCAGATCTTCTTCGTTTTTGGGGAAGAGACTGGGCCAGTCTTTGTGGGAAATATCCAGATGAACAAGACACAGTTCTGTCCCCTGAGAAATCTCAGACCCACTAAAGGAGAGGAGATGACTACAACCATAAATTAAGGCAGGAGATACTAGAAGGTTGCAAAATATGGGGGAGAGTGGTAGCTTCTAGTTTGGGAAGTTGGAAAGGGCTTTCTAAAAGATGCTTTGCATTTAAGGATGGGGAAGATCTGGGCATATAGAGGTAGAAGGGAAGGAGGAAAGAACGGTGTGGAAGTGGGCAGTTGGCTACAAGTAGGGGTTATGTTGGGGGAAGAAAGTGAAGAGTGGCTAAGAGACTGCATTTCTAGCACCATTATGAACAGTTTAGAGCAGTACTTAGAGCTTCATTGGAATTGGTAGTGTTATCTGGGTTCAGTGGAGAAAACTGCTAGATTAGTGGTATTTGCCATGGGTGCACGGGAGGGAGGCATTGTCAGCATCTATATCATATCTGTGAATAATATCCAGTATGTATTAGAGTAGAAGCAATGGAGCCTAGGGGTAAGCATGGTCTTTGGAGCTAGACTGCTTCAGTTCGGATACTGGCTCCAGTATTTAATTCTTCACCTAGGAGGAATTGCTTAACATCTCTGTCAGTTTTCTGGTCTATAATATGCATAGTCATGAAAGTATTTCACATTCTTGTTTGTGAGGAGTAAGTGGGATAATACATGTAAAGTGCTGGAATTGCTTGGCCCGTTGTAAATGTTGGTTATGATTACCATGTTTAATCATTCATGTAGAGTTAATGAAGAATCAGTGGAGTTTTTTTTTTTTTTTTTAATTTTTTATTTATTTATGAGAGAGAGAGAGAGAGAGAGAGGCAGAGACACAGAGGGAGAAGCAGGCTCCATGCATCGGGAGCCCAACGTGGGATTCGATCCTGGGTCTCCAGGACCGCACCCTGGGCCAAAGGAAGGTGCCAAACCGCTGCGCCACTCAGGGATCCCCTGTTTCTTTAGTTAGAGTGGGAATTAAGATCAGAGCTTTGACTCAGGAAGATTACAGTGGCAGCTTTGGGCTGGGTCAAGGGGAGTGGGGAGGCTTAGAGACAAAATAAGTGACTCTCATTGTTCTCTTGAGTAGTCATGAGGGCCTGAAGCCAGGAGCGGGGGCGTGGAGGGTAGACACTGCATAGTGAATGGGCCTGAAACATGAGGGCTAAGGGAAAAGGGTTGGATATGTCCACAGTGCTGGAGAGGTTTCTGTCTACCTGGCAGGGAGGGAGAGAGACCCAGCATTGGGTTGCTGGCCCTAAGGAGAAGAGCAATGCTGGCTGATAACCATGCATTTGATTTCCCTGTTCCTCTGGCAGGTCCCTCGTACTTCAGAGATCTATGTCCACCGAAGTGGTCGTACTGCTCGTGCCACCAATGAAGGCCTCAGCCTTATGCTGATTGGGCCTGAGGATACGATCAACTTTAAGAAGATTTACAAAACCCTCAAGAAAGATGAGGACATCCCACTGTTCCCTGTGCAAACAAAGTACATGGACGCGGTCAAGGTAAAAAGAAAACTTAGAAACCTAGTACTGATGAGGGAAGGAATGCTGCTGCACTTTCACCTTGCTGTGAGGCCCTGGCAGCAGAACCCTTGAAAACTAATGATTCTGCCAACAGCTGAATAGGGAGGTCATAAAAACAAGAAAAAGAGAAAAAAGGAATAGGGATACTATACATGGCAGAAGGGTAAAGGCTTTTTTGAGTGGCCAAAAACATGAGGAATTTTCTTCCTGAGCCCTTCACTGCCTGCCCCTGTAGCCTCCACCACCACCACCATCCTTCCCTCCGCTGGACAAGGACAGTGAGTGTGGCTACCTGGTAGTTGTAGGGAAGTAAGGTCAACTTGTCTTGCTGAGGCAGATACTAAGTTTTGTCACATCTGTAAAGCAAATGCCAGTAATTCCTACCATTGCTGGTTTTATTTTAACTCAGCAAGCATTCAGCGGAATAGGTGCTGCTGACTATGGGCATCATGTGTTAGGTACCAAAGCCAGGTGGATTTTCTCCATGGAGGTCCACTGGCTTGTGATGTAGACCAAGCCCATGCTGAAGTTCAGGTATAAATGGAGCACCATGGGTCTGGTGGGCATTATGGTTATATTGGTAGGAGAGGAGGTTTCTTCCAAGCCTCTTGCATATGGAGTGGTAGAGAGGAAAATAGAATTCCAGGAGTGGGGGAGCAAAAGCATAGAAGAGTTCAGGGACTTTTGGCTCCTCTGACTCAGAAGGAATGTTAGCTGTGTGGGGAAATATGGTGGGAGATGAGCTTGGAAGGATGAAGGTGACAGAATTCCCATTAGTAGGGTTGAGAGCCACTCTTTCTTCCCATGGCTCCTTTCCCTCACACTACAAGATCTCTTCCATTTTTTCTGTGTTTACTGTCATTGTGGTCTGACTCCATCACCCATGAGCAGAGAGTTGAAGTGTTTTTGGCAAGGACAACATGGAAGAAAGGGAAGGCAGTTCTGTGAGTTTGTAGTCCCTCTGATCAGTCACAGTGGGGCCCTAACTCAGGGCTGTTGGAGTGTGTCAGGGTCCCAGCTCCCTATCTGTGGTATCTGGGGAAGAGTTCCCTTGGGACACCTGTAGACTGGCAGTCCAGCTAAGGTGAGCTTCCAACAAGTGGGGCTCTCCTGATTTGTTGTTAGGAAAGCTAGCTCTTGTGATTTCATTTGTGCATACTCATGTGATGACTGCCCTCTGCTTTTATCAGGAACCAGAACAAATTCATTTTGATGGGAGCTAATCCTTTTTTTTTTTTTTTTAAAGATTTTATTTATTTATTCATGAGACACAAAGAGAGAGAGAGGCAGAGACACAGGCAGAGGGAGAAGCAGGCTCCATGCAGGGAGCCCAACGTGGGACTCGATCCCGGGTCTCTAGGATCACGCCCTGGACTGAAGGCGGCGCTAAACCGCTGAGCCACCCGGGCTGCCCTCCAGAGTTTTTTTTAAAAGACACAAAGTATTTGAGCCCTTGCTTCCCAGAGGCTTGAATGCTCTGTCAAATGAACACTCTATTCCTTTTCCCCAGGAACGAATCCATTTGGCTCGACAGATTGAGAAAGCAGAGTATCGGAACTTCCAGGCTTGTCTACACAACTCTTGGATTGAACAGGCAGCAGCTGCCCTAGAGATTGAGCTGGAAGAAGAGATGTATAAGGGTGAGTGGTGGGCTGGATGGGACTTGAAGAATACATTCAGTATTTGTTTTTTCCTTCAACTTTTGTCCTCTTGGAACTTTGCCACTACCACGGATCCTGTTAAAATCAGCAAGATACCTTTTCTGTTTTTGTGACAGGCTGTAGTCCCAGTTAAGCGTACAGCCCTTGGCCTTTGTTCCTTCTGTCTTATTTGTCTGGAGCCTTCAGCTGTCTCCCTCATATGGAAAGGTAGTGACATGAGGGGTAGGCTCTGTGGCCACTGTTGGTCCATTCCCTTAACTGGCTGTGTGACCAGCTCAAGACCCTTAACCTCTCTTCTGTACTTAGGCTGTCCTCATCTTTAAGGTACGGGTCATAAATTCCTGCCTCATGGGGTTATTGCAAAGATGTATTGATTAATGAGAATAAAGTGCCTGTGCCAGTGCCTAACAAATAATATTTGATACATCTTAAATTGTTATTTATGATCATTATTGTTACTCCTGCACCAGTCATCATCTCAAGTGACTTCCGTAGTCTCGTGACATAAACAGAGCAGGAATTACTGTCCTTTTATATATGGAAACCAGAAGCTCACAGAAGAGCAGCAGTTTGCACAGGGAAATGGCTCCATTACCGGCCTTTCCTGAGCCCCTACTCTGAACATAGGCAAAAGCCTAAGGATTCATGGATGAATCTGTGTGGCCCCTGCTCTAAGAAAGCTCTTCAGTCTAAGAAGTGAGAGCCAAATCTAGAACTGACAATACCAGAGTTAGATCCAGTGTTCTTTCCATCCCACAAGTGTGGCATCTGAGTGCCAAAGCCAACAAATTCAGAGGCCGACTTATGCTGTCTGCTTCTGTCAACACAGAAGCTAGGAACCAGACCAGTGGGCTTGGTGACAGTTAGCTGTTCCTCCTGATAGCTCAGGCTTGGGGCTTGAGCTTCACTTCCTAAGGACCAGCTGGTATGGAGCCCTTATGGGCACACCCACCTCCACAGGTGCAGTCACAGTGCTGGTAGTGAGGTATAGGAGAGCTGGGCTGCCGGATGGTGTTCACAGTCTCCTGGAGGCTTTGTACCTGTCAGGTCACCCTACCCTAGCTAGCAAGTAGCAAATGGGTGAATTGTAGGAAGAAAACTGATCTTCAAGTCAGGAACCTTGGGTTTTCATCGCAGTTTGACAGCTAGCTAGCTAGCTCTGTGACCTTTTAGCAAGTGCTCTTGATGGTAAAATTGAGAGAATTCCTGTCTCAGAGGGTTGTTTTTTTTTTTTAATGGAGTGAAGGAGGCGGGGTCCACCCGTGGGGGCCCTGCTGTTCTGAGGACCGGATCCCTCTATGCCATGGCCTCTGGGTGGCCCCTTCGAGAACCACCTGTGTTGCGGGTGGACAAGGCTAATGGGGGCACTGCACCTGGTAGAAGGAGGTGCCCAGCGAGGCCTGGCAAGACTCCACTTATCTCAGCAGGAAACAGAAGGGGGAGCCAGGCTCTGGGCAGCCGGGGGCTCTGCCCAGCCCTCTGGAGGGCACGGGCTCCCGCTCCGAGGGGATCCCCAGGCCACCCCAGGGGCCCCCGCACCTCTGCCTGCCCCAGAAGTGGGGCTCCCGGGGACAACCCGTTATCGGAACTATCGTAGTAACAGCCAGGAGCCCTCCCCCTCCCCGAGCCGCCCTCGTTATCCGTGCCCTTCCTTTCCTCCTTTAAGTTGGCACCGGCTTTATTAATACTTGAATTCTAATGGCTAATGCTTTAAATTAATGTAGCATTTATAGATACTTTATAGTCCATGAATAATTGACCAAATTTAGTATTGTCGTAACTCGTAGTAAATTATTGATCCACGGAGTAAATAAATAAATAAAAATAAATAAATAGATAAATAGAGTGAAGGACCCAGTGGCCCACCCCCCCCCAGTATCCCTCTCAAACTGTGCTAGAAGTTAGCCAATACTAGCGTCTTTAGAGAACTTTTGAGCCTTGATTCCCCAAGAGTTCCAAAACATTTTTCATCACAAGTATCCATCAAGGGAAACAAAACATTTCTACAAATAATAGTAAATATGGTCTGTTTTGTATTGTGTTTTAAGGGAGAAAAACTGACCAGCAAGAAGAACGTAGGAGACAAAAGCAGATGAAGGTCCTGAAGAAGGAGCTGCGCCATTTACTTTCCCAGCCATTGTTCAAAGATGACCTGAAAACCAAGTATCCAACTCAGTCTGGCAAGCTGCCCACACTCATGTCTACCCCACGAAATGGTGAGTCTGCTTTGAGCTGCCTCGCTAAACAGAAGAAAAAGAAAAAGAAGCCAAAAGAGCAGCAGCCGGAACAACCGCAGCCAAGTACAAGTGCAAATTAACTGCCCTCCAGGTCAGTCTGTTAGTGACTGCACATTGTTTCTGTGTTCTCTGGTTATACAGGAAATCTTCCCACTTTGCCTTTCACTCCACCATCAACCCTGGTTATAAAAATCTCCCTCTTCCATGCCAGCCCCCATCACAGGAGAGGCTTCATGCATATTTGTGTTGTTTTGGAGTAAAATTTCTATGCAGCAGCTTATATATTTCTGTATCCCAGTGTGTACAGACTTCTAGTATGTTCAGCTTGTTTTCCTCAATTAAAGACAGTAGTCAGAACCAGCATGTTATTCTTGAATTTTTGGCTGGAATGTATAGCTGTCCTAATCCTCCTGCAGGATGCATGTGGGGTGTATCTGATCCCACTGGACAGTGTGGATGGAGTGGTAGGTCTTCACTTGTGGTCCCACTTTTCTCCACAACCCTAATAGCTCTTTATCTCTGCCATTCACAGCTTTTGTCTTGTTGGAGCCACACTGTGAGATGGGCAGGGAAGAGATTGCCATCCTTGGGTTCCAAGAAAACACAGGCGTCCTTAACATCATACCCGCTTGTGGGGAAGCCAGTAACAGTATGCAGAGTCTGGCATTGTGAGGCACTTGGGGTCTGGCACTAGACAGTTTCTCCAGCCTTGTCTCCCTTCCCCTCCTCTTTGTGACAGAGTGGTTGTTGCCCACAGTCCCACATGTCCTTTCTCTTGTCCTGAGCCTTTCTGTAAGCTCTTCCCTCCGCCTGCTTGCCTTTTCCATCCTTGAGCACAGCTACATGTTCTCTAGGTCCCTGAAGGGAACAGTGTCCTCACGTAGGCTCCCATAGTAGCTGTGCTTACCAACTCTCCATAACACTTGGCACACTGTATAGTCTCTGCTGAGCTCCTTGACAGCATAGGCTTTTAAATCACCCCTTAACAGCCCTGGAACTTACGTCAGAGCATGATATAAATATGTGCTGGGGGAACCAGTGACCTCTTGGTACACCCACCCCCCAGCTTTGTTTAGGTTAGTCTAGGGTGAGTAGCCACAATTTGCCAGAGAAGCATAGATTTCTTCACAGCTAAGTCTGGGCTTCTACAAGGGTGTCCCCTTGGCTTCATGGTTGACAGGTTGGCAGGATGGCAGCAATGTTCCTCAGCCCCTCTGTGTAACCACAACAGGACAGCCTGACTGAACTCAGCGTCGGGTATCCTTGAGTGCTGACCAGATACCCAGCACTGTTAGTCATTTTCATCTATTTTATCATTTAGTTTCTAACAAGCCTCTGAGATGCAAGTGCTAATACGTTTTTGTGGTTGAGAAGGCGGACACTTGAGTAGTTAAGACTTGCTCAGGATCACAGACCCACCAAGTGGCAGACCTGGGATTAAAACTGTGGGTATTTCCTTGTGGGCCCAGTGCATGTTCAGAAAACTGTTTCAGTTTTAAAAGGGTAGCATCATTGCCAGGAAGTATCTCCCCAGGGTCACCAGTGAACCAGGGAGAATGCAGTAGAAAACAATCCTAGTCTGTGAGATGAGTTCTTGAGTGACAGCTGGTAGAAGATGGCAGGAGACTCACCATTATCCAAATGATACAGTGGAGCTTTGAGCAGCCTTAAGGAACCTTAGCACCTCAGTAACGAGAAGCCTGAGGCTGCTGGCTACAGCCCAGACAGACCCACTGATGCCTGCTGACATCCTGCCCTTGTCCTCCAGCAGCAAATTCTTACTTTTTTGGTGGGGTCATGTGTTAAAGGGATAGGTTTTAAAAGATAAGGTTAGCCTCACAGGCAGTTCTGTGCTCTGACTTGATGAGGTAAAGCTTTGGTCATTCCTCTGGTTTCTTTGGTACCACCAGCCCATGGGCAGAACTTCCTGAGTACGTAGATCTTCCACTAACTGAGAGCCCACTCTCCCCTGCTAATCCATTCACATACATAAGCAGTGTGGGAGAGTGTTGATTTTCAGTGCATGCTGGATACCAAATACTAAGAAACCAGGACAGAAGTTGTCATGGAAACCATTTTAATGCTAGGAAAATGTTCCCACCAACTGCTGGGAGAAGCAATGGGGCCTGGCCCCCACCTTGACCCTGGGCAGCCGCCCACTGAGCCATAGCTCCTGTCCCCATTTTGCACAGTGTGAGAATGGTTCTTAGACTTTTCTAACGGCCCCTGATACTTCCCCATGTGGGAAGCTACAGTTTCCTGCCAAGGTGATATTTGCCCATGTTGCAAGTGTTCTGTTTCCCCACATTCAGAGCATTGGGTGTCAGGTCTCAGTACTCAGCCATAAACTTGTTCCACTTTAACCAGTGATCCTGTGCTGCATAGGTATTGTCTCCATTTCACTGATGTGGGAATTGGGGCTGAAAGAGGTAAAAAGGTGGGATTCAAACCTAGGCGAGTCTGGCCCCAGAACTCCCTTTTGTGTTTAAAATAGGAACCCAGTCAAAAGCATGGACAGTTTGTTGTCACTAAATAGTCCTATTTATAAAGTTCCCTTTAGAAAGAAAATAATAAACATGCAGGTCTAAAGATAGGCTCTAAAAGCAACTCTCCTCCCTGCTTTTGGTCTGGAAAGAGATGGATGGCTTGGTGAGGTGGGTGGAGAATTATCCAGGCAGGAAGTATGCTTGCTACAGCAGCCAGTCCTGCTGGCATTCCGTGACTTCCCCAGATGACTTGATTTGAACAAGTTCCTGAATTCGGCCACTGCCTTTTCTCCATTTGTGCTTGCCCTCAGATCTGAGGGCAGATGTCAGGGCAGAGAGCCATGGCTTGGATTTGACCAGAGATTTTGTGGAAAAAAGGGGGAAGCACATAATTTGCCTAAACTGGGGGCCCTCTTCCCAGGAGAGATCCTAGGAGCCCTGGTGAGCTTCAGACCTGGAAGTACAGCAAGGAAGTCTGAGAGGGAATTTCTCCAGCCGGTCTGCCAAAGAGAAATCTGCCTTTGTGAACACATGCTGAAAAGTGGCACCTGCTGCCTGTGCAGTGTGTGAGAGCCCAGCTGGAGGCGCAGGCCATCCTGCAGTGCCTTGGAGCAGCCAAGGGCATTCAGCCTGGTGCTGTGTTCATACCCTTCAGTTTGAAAATGGAGATCCTGATACATACTAGTCACATAGTGTTCCCCCCCCCCATCCTCCCAGTGTGTTACAGATCCTAGCACTCCCATTTAGAAATCAAGGTCGCATTTACATTCCTGTGGAAAAGTGACATAATTATTGTGAGCCCTTGGGTTTAAATTCCACCTAAGGCAGTGGGGAAACCTGAGTCTGTGCCTGCCATTTAAGCACTCTAATACCTGTCTTCGCAAAGGCAGAAGAGTGATACAAATGTGCTGTTTGTGTACAAAGCCTCAGCAGTCTGCTTTCAGTCCCTGTGCATAGTCTGGCTGGCAGCAGACATCTCAGGGTAGATTGTCATAAGTCCCTGCAGAATGGAACCTATGAGAAAACCCCTTGGGTTAGGGAAGCATCCCATGGGCAGTTCCACACTTCTACATTCTCCATTTCCTCCCACAGAGGAAGAGAACTTGCAAGCAGTACCCCAGATCAGCTAGGGCTCTTTGATGTCCTGGGTCACCAATGTGACAAGGTTATTAAGGGGCACGTTCAGGTGGATGAACAAGGAGGCTGCCAGCTAGGACTCCTGGCTTCCAGGCAGTTTCCAAATTCTCCCCCACTGCCAGTTTGCTTGCCTTGTCTCTGTTCTTTCCCACCTAATTTCCTGCCAGCCCACAAAACCAAGCAGAAGTGGGGAAAAGGGAAAGAAGCCACAGACAGCCTTGCAAAACTGGTCTGCCCTGCCCATCCATGTCTGTGGCTGTGTGTGCTATGTCTCCACCTGGAGGATTACCTGGGTTCTACTTCCAGGCTGTGTTGGGGATGGTGAGACAGCTTCCTGGTCCCAGGCTTCCTTGAGCCTCTGTTCAGGTGGGGCTAGCAGCAGAATCCTAAAGGGCCTGCCCAAAGGCAAGCAGTTCTGGCCCTGAGAGAGGTAGAGAGGGGCCACAACAACTTGAGCTTCGGTGCTGAAGACCCCTTTCTAGACTTTGGCATAAAAGTCTCTATTTTGTCCTTAAGTTACGGTAAGAAAACACCCCCATCATCATGAACGTTTAGAACCACGCTGAATGAAGCCCTCACATTCAAGTTGGCCTCAACTGGCCAATGCTTCAGTCAGCCATCCACCAACATCCAGTCTAACAGCTGATTGGACTGGATTCCTTTTTGTAGAACAGGTAACTCACAGACGACAGCTGACCTTGAGCTTTTCTTCCCCCACAGAGGTTCTGCCCCTGGTGAAAGGAAACCAGAGGGCCTATTTTTATACAGTAGAACAATATACAGTGCTGGCAAATACCTTTTCCAGATGAAGAAACAGGCCCAGAGAGGGGAGGTGACTTGCCCAGGGCCTCAGGGAACTGGGGGCAGAGCCAGGGGTTCTGGCTTTGTAGCCCTGAGTTAGAAAGCATTTGATCCTCAAATTACCACAGTCCATAATGGGTAGGCCTCATTCCCAGTGACTCTGCCCAAAAGGCTGTACATTTTCTAACTATAGTTTAAGTTGCTTAAAAAATTGAAAAGCCGGAATGTTCCATTTAGAATGCAGTCCCGTTAGGTGACAGGCTCCACTGCATGGCCTAAAATTAATCAACGTTTATCGGCTGCATAAAGGATGTTGTAGTGGGATGTTTTATAGAGCAGGTAAACGGAAGGGGTGGCAGCCTCGGGGAACACGTGGTGGTTCAGCGCCGTGTCCATCTCATCCACATACTCCACCTGCAGGGCGATGTTCAGTGCCTGAGACAGGGCTGTGATCTGGATGTGGTCACACTCCATGGCCATGGGCTCCACTTCCTGCCAAGGCCAGAATAAAAAAATTCAGTTTAGGAAGGAGGCCTGGCAGAGGACACAGGAGAATCCCAGCTCTGGCTTTCATGGCCCTGGGTCTTTTAAAGCATCTATGTTGGGAAATAGTCTTCACAACAACTCATTAGGTAGATACTTCCATCCCCCATTTCTAGAGGAGGAAACAAACCCTGTGAGGAAGAGCAACCAGAAACACAGTAGAACTGCAAGGCTTGAATCGAGATCTTTTTGATTCCCGACTCTAGCTATATGTAAGAAGAGAACACTACTTTCAAAAACTGGGGTGGGGGGGGGCAGGAATATTTGAGCTTGAACTTATTAATGCACAGAACCAAAGAATCTCAGAGCGGAAGAGGACATCAAAAAGGAATTTCAGAGGGCTAGGCGAATGAGTGAGTCCGAGAGCTGAAGAGGCAACAGAGAGATGGTGGCAGGCTGGCATGCGTGTCCCACATAACCAGGGCGCTGCTACTCTGCTCCTGCTGATTGTTGCCATGCAGGAATAAAGCCCTGAGAGCTGGATCTTCTGAGAGAAATCCAGATAGGAAAGCTACCCAAGGTTTAAATGTTGGCAGCTCCGTTTCAGATAAATACCATACAGCATAAAACACATCTAAGACAAATGTGATTCTGGGGCTGCTACTCTGCAGTTTTGTAAACAGGGCCCTCATTTCTCAGATGGATGTACACCCACAGCCACACAGTTCAGGCAGCTCAAGTAGGATCAGTTTCTGGCTTGCTAATCTTGTTCTTCAGATTACAAATGCAGACGTGACATCAACTGCCCTGGCGAGGGATGATGGTGTTAAAGTCTCCTGAGAGGAGAGGGGCTTTCCTGGCACCTTCCCATGGCCCACACACCATCCTCCCCTGTGTGTACAATCCCAGGAGGTGGGTATTGATACAGCAGATCCCAGGGCTGGGAGCTAAGTCCCCAAAGCTTGAGACTCTGAGGACCTACATGAGTACAGAAGTCTTTGATGTCCATCTCCTCATCAATGAAGTGTCGAAAGAAGTCTGCGCGGTTCTTGATGAAGGCTGAGGTGAGCAGGCGCAAAAACTGCACGATTTGGTCCGAGGAGCTCTGGTCATTGAACACCTTCAGCAGGCTGGACACTGAGCCATCCTTCTCTACCAGCTCTACCACACTGTAAAACTACACTCCGCCAGGTGTCAGTCGAGGGAGGCACAGGCAAGACCTTCCCTCCCCTCCCTCCCCCCCCTCCTTCCCCTCCCCTTCTCTCCGCCCCCCATGGGACTCTCTCCACAGGACCCTCCCCTCCATGTGTATTTCCCTTTTAAGTCCTCTAATTGAGGTACCGAAATAAATATCTGGGACCAAAGCTAAGTAGGAGGGTTAGAAATGCTCTGCAATGTGTACCTTAGCCCAGAATTCTGTCTAGGGCATAGCACTTGGGGGTCTCCTTCCATCACTGGTTGTTGGGATTCAGAACTGAATCCTCCAACCCCACCGGCTTCATAAGGGAGGGGAGCAGGGTGGAGAGGGAATGGATGAAGGAAACTAGGGGATGTTTCCAGCCTGAAAGCTGCCCCAAAGGAGGTGCCCCTTCCCAATAGGAGGGGCAGGGCCCTGGGGTCCTGTCCCCACGTGCTGGAAGCAGCTGTCTGTCCTTCCCCCAGCTGGGAGGAGCAAGAAGGGCATAACAGCAGAACATGGGGTGTGAGGGGCTCCAGCCAGTGCCCATTCCTATCTGCTCTGCCAGCATGGAAGGACCTGGACCCTCAGCCATCCTGCCCAGGTTAACTTACAGCATTAAAGAAGTTTCGGAACTTGTGCTCCTCAAAACCAGCAGCCAGGAGGTCATTTGGGGTCTGCAGGACACGTTCTTTGAACCTGAAGGGGGAAGGAAGACTGATGGCTCATGGAGAAATGATGATGGAGCACTGCTGTGACAGTCAGTGTCCTCCCGCTCACACCCACTGCCCCCCACACCTGAGGTTTGTGCCACTACCAGGTGACTGCTCTCTCCCTTTCAGAGCACTTCCCTGTGGATCACACACGAACTTTTCTATTCCTCCCCAGTGTATAAAATCCCAGGAAGGGAGTGTTACACCCAGTTCATAGATTAGGAGGTTGAGGTAATCACTACCCCCTCCCAGACATTGATTCTACCTTTCAAAGGTTTCTGAACTCTGTTCCTCCTTTTCCCCGTGGTTCTTGGCATGTGATCATCATTTCTGGCCAGGGCTATGCTCAGCCTTCCCGTGCTCCCAGTCCCTTCTCCACAAGGACCTCTGGAGTGACCTAGCACAGTCTCCTCCCTCAGGACACAGCTCCTCAGCACAAACATCCAAGGGAGGGCCCCTGCCTAGCTCCCCAATTTCCTCTCCCTTCTCAGCCTCCCTCCCACCCACAGCCACTCACTCCCCGTCTGTGTTTCACTCCTTAGCACCCTGTCCCCTCAACCAGTGCCCTCTACCTATTCACAAGAGCTAATTGTTCAGTTTTCAAGATTTTGCCAGTCAGGGGTTAAACACCATTACTTGAATTATACTACAACACAAAGCTAAATATTTAAAACTCCGTTTCTAATTATCTTTGCTCTTGAGGTTACATATGTCTGTCATGTGTGATGGTGGAGATATGACTGGGCTGTAGCATATGTTTATCTCTTCCCTGATCCCTGCTCAGTGACCCCCATGATGGTGGCTTGAAAAACCAGTTGTGACAGGAGTATTTAAACCACAGGATGGGCTAACAAGTCAGGCCTCCCTGTCCCACAGCCGTTAAACCTTGGCCAGCACTGACCTCCTTTCACACCTGGTCCAATGGCCCTTGTTCTTGTCAGTGCTGGCTCAGCCCTATCTGCCTCCATGGCAGGCCCCTAACGGCACAGCTCCCTTCCAAGAGCAGTCATGGTAGAGGCCCGCAAGGAGCCGTATCAGCCCCTGGCCCCGAGACACAGTTAGCAGCTGACATGAGAAACAGAATAAATGACTGGTCCGTGGAGGGGAGGGTAAGAGCTGGTGCAAGAAGGACCAAGTAGAGAAGGACCAGCTGTCTCTGGGGGACAGCTGGCACTGGCTGAGTTGCAGCCCCTCCCCTGGGGAGGGAGGCTAGACTCCCAGTGGGGCACAGGCAGAGGGTTTCAACCAGGAACTCTAGGCCAGAGGGGGAGGCTCAGGTGCCTCCTTGCAGGAGAGGGGCCGGTGAGGAGAGGGGTGGTGTATGCGGAGCACAAACATCTAAAGCAGTAGGTGGAAGTTGGCTCTGGCCAGGGCGGGTGTGGGGAACACACCACACCGGCAGTTGGCAGCCCTGCTGTTCGGTTGCTCTCAGACTTTGGGCCCCCTCCGCCTCCCTGGACCTCAGCAGCTGCATTCCCACACTGCTTCCTCCCAGTGACTGCTGACCCCTATACCAGACACTGTGGAGCAGCACGCGGGCCCAGCTATGTGAGAGGCAAAAGCCTAGGCCAGAACTCTGAGCCGATGAGGCGAGTGAAGGGGAGGAGGATGGTGTTGGGACTTGGGGTAAGGCTCTCTGCTGTATGCCAGCTTTTTTAAAAAATATATATATATATTTTATTTATTCGAGAGAGGCAGAGACACAGGCTCCCTGCATGGAGACTGACGTGGGACTCAATCCAGGGTCTCCAGGATCACACCATGGGCTGAAGGTGGCGCTAAACCGCTGAGCTACCCGGGCTGCCCTGTATGCCAGCTTTAGGATGACCTTGGGCAAGGCTTGTCACCTTCCTGAGGCTCAGTGTACTCAAATTGCAGCATGGGGTAATGCCAACCTCGCCTAACCGTGAATGAGTCCTGTTGATGCCCCCTCTACAGGAATCTGGAATCCAGTCAGTACCCCCACCTGCTCATGGCGGGAGTGGAGGGGGATTGGTCACTATCCTCTCTCCTTTCCCTGAGTGTGTTCCCTGCTCTGCCCCCCTCAGTCTGTCCTGTGGAGACCAGCCAGCAGGCCAGGCGATGCTCTGCTCAAACCCTCAGGGGCTCTGTCTCATTCAGGCTGAAATTCAGGGTTTTTATAGCTATAGACCTTACCTCCAACCCCTACTTAAACACCTGGGGCAACACCTCCTGCCCCAGCCCTGGACAACTTGGCCACCTTCCCTGCCTGGTGTTTCCTACAACGCTTATCACCACCTGACACCTCACATACTGTCTTCTCCTGCTAGCATGTCTGCTCCACAGACGGGGGGTTTTGTCTCGTTCTCTGCTGCATCCCTGGGGCCAGTCTGTGTGGTGCCCTGCTGGGTGAGGACTGCAGGCAGGGACACTGCCCTGGAAGGAGTGCAGGAATGAAGGGAAATGAGCATGAGGGCTGGTACAGACACATGGGCTGGGCTTTGTGAGCAGCACCCACAACACCACCTTGTGTATGCAAACTCACCCACCTTCCACAGAAACGGAGGCTCAGAGAGGTGGGGTGACTTGCCCAAAGTCACACAGCAAGTAAGCAAGAGAGTGAGGTCAGGCTTAGAGCCCTAGACCTCGACATGGCCCAACTCTGCGGGATACGGGTAGTGGGGGAAAACCCTGCCCAGGATTGTGCGGTCTCGACTCTGCAGAGCTGTGGGGAGATGGGGGAGGATGGTGACTACAGATAGGTGACTCTCCCATCAAGAGAGACTCAGCCAGTTTGTCATTCAGGAATGGTTCCTTCCAAATAAGGAACAGGTGGCCTAATTTCTGTCCCTTTTGAGGGAATCTACATTTTGAACAGGAGATAATGGCCTTAACCTAGCTGTTGTCAACCAGGGTTGACTTGCTCCCCAACCAAGGAGATACCTGATTGAGTCCGAAGACATTTTTGATTGTCATGACTTGGGGAGAAGGATGTTCCTGGCATCTAGTGGGTGGATGCAAGGGATGCTACTAACCACCCTGTAAGGCCCCAGACAGCCCCACAACAAGAATGTGGGGAGTGCCGCTGTTGAGAAAGCTGCCCTTGCAGAGTAGTTCTGGCACCAGGGTCCAAGGATCAAGCCTGAGGGCTCTGGGAGCTTGGGCTACTCTGCTCTGCTCCCGCATGTGTGGGCGGTGGCCTTCATCAGATCCTCTCAGGGCAGTGAGAGCTCCAAGATCAAGAAGCACATCTCAGCTCCTTGCTGCTCACAGTGTGGTCTGAGACCCGGCAATGGCGGCATCTCCCTGGAGCTCGGGAGGGACACAAAAGCCTGCCCTGGACCAACTGAATCGGGACCACCCTCACCAAGATCCAGGTGGTTTGAGCGAAGGGGGACACCAGAGAAGCCCTGGCCTAAGCCCAGATGCAGAGGCCTAAAGGACTGCTCCAGGGAGCAGCGGCTGAACAGAGAGGAACCTTCGGCATCACGTCAAGACCGAGGTAGATGGGCAGATGCCCAGTTACACACGTTTAAGAACAGGGGCAACTGAAATTATTCACAATGGGCAAAGCTTCATTTTTCTCCTTGGAGTGAGTCTTCAAAAAGTCAGCCAAGGCAACCCACCTAGGCGCACTCAGGCCAGGGCAACGGCACCCATGAGGTCACTGGTTCCATCCCCAACCGCCTGGCTGTCCCCTCCCCAGGTTTGGCAGGCTGTACCTAGGAAACCCCCTCTGGGAGACTCAGCCGTCCCGCCCCCCCAGCCCACCCGGTGATCCCACATGCCCCCCACTCACTTGAGGACCTCTCTGCTTTTCCCCAGCAGGGATTCCAGGTAGGAATAGCCCAAGGCCCGGTAGAAGCAGTTCCCATCCCCCTTGGTCTTGCGGATCCCGGTGAACCTTTTGCTGAGTTCCTGTAGGGCAGAGAAGGAAATGTGGACATCTGCAACACCATCACCCCTTAGGTCCTGTAAGGGCCAGGGCCCACCCTTCCCCCAGGTAGCACCTGCTCCCTGCTCTTGGGCCGGCTGACCCTTCACAGTCTCCCAAATATCCTTCATCACACAAATGTAAAACTGTGCTGAGCCTGTCCTTGTGGCAGCACCCAGTGCTGAACAAACATGTCAAGGCTCACCCTCAGGTAGCCTACAGTCTGGGGGTTAGACAATTAGGACAAGACGGGAAGCATGGGAGTGCCTTGGAACAGTGGCATCAGAAGTCTAGAAAGGCTTCCAGGAGGAGTAGCACTGAGAGGAGCAAAAGTGATGTGCATGGCGCAGGGGTAGTGTGGCTGAGCAGTGGGCCAGGAGTCTGCAGCCTCTAGAAAAGGACTCCTCAGACATAACCACGTGGTCTGGCCAGTCTTTCAAACATTGCTCAAAAGATGTGGCCCTCCCCAGGCCACTCACCTCCACTCTGCTCCTAGCTGCCAATCTCTCCAACGCCCTGGAGTCCCCTTGGCTGCCTCATGGGGCTACCATCAGCATTCTGAGAGCAGAGCATGGGCATCAGGAAGTCCCTGCTCCCATCACAGCAATGACAAGGCTTGGAGTTACTGGGGCCCATCTCAGGCAGGCCAACAGGGAAGGTCATGCTCCTTGGGAACCCCTTCTTACCTCCTGAGAGGGTTCCAGGGTACACGAGTCCCTATGGCCCAGCCTTTGCTCCTGCCCCAGGAAGTGCTCCCTGTGGCTGCAGGAGATAGTCCTGCCAATGAGCAGAGGAAGCAGAGGTGTGCTGCCCCCAGAGATGGAGAGAGCCCAGGCTCCTCCTGCTGCCCTGGTTCTGTGAGCTGTCCCTGCACCCTTCTGGCCAACTCCTCTTTTGCATAGCTCAGCTGGAGTGGTTCTTCCCCACTGAGAGATGCCCTAGCACTGTGGTTCTGGATGCAGCTTAGAGATCAGGCTGCCTGTTCCAAACCCCAGCTTGTCCACTCACTAGCTATAGGATGGTGGGCCTGCTATTTAGTATCTGTGCCTCGGTTTCCTTAGCTGTAAAATGTGGATATAAAAGTACTGATTTGCAACCTTGTCATGAGATCTCAGTGAGTATATGAAGCATTTAGGATAGTACCTAGCTTTAAAAAAATCCTATATAAATATATAGGTATACATATATTTTTGACAATTAAAAGATTTCTCATTAAGGCAAATACCCAACATGAGAATATTTTGGGATCCCTTTAATTTGCCCGGGAGCCTGGCCCCAATGCTAAGCCACTCTGCCTTCAAAGTGGTACCTTTGACTCCAATCCCAGCTCCAGCACATTTGCTCCAAGATCCTCTCCCCTGCAGACCTCCATCTCACCTGGATTTTCCTCTGGTATATCCTGTTTTCAGGATGATCCCGAAGAATTGATAGAATGTCACATTTTTCTGATATTAGGTTGAAAGATGTTTCACTCTGAAAGGGAAGCAAAGCTGTGTGACAATTTCAAAGCAACTGATGGGCTTCCACCAAGTAGAAAGCCTCTGAACTGCTAGTTACGTGACATAGTGAATGTTACCTATCCACAAAGGGCACACTACCAGTTATCTTGGATGTCATGTTCCCTGGTCAGGATCTGCCCCATCCTTTAGGGATGTCATCCTGTAACTTCCGAATGGACTCACTTTAGGATATAACCCCTCGAACCTAGTGAGCCTTCATGCTGGAGTATGAGGTAACCCCTTGTCTCCTGCCCTTCCTGTCTCACTCATTCATTCATTTTATTTGCCAACAATACCTAAACTTCCAGCCTGCACAAACCACCTTTTGACATTCTGGAAATAGGGGTTAGAACATCTGGTGGATGTACCACCTACCGGCCAAAGTCCATATTGCAGCCCAGCTGGAGCCTGGATCCATTCCAACCCAGAGATAAGCTTCCTGGCCCAGAGGCAGGGCTCTGCTCTGGAGGGCTGAGAAGAAATCCACAAGGAGCAGGTCATGGCAGGAGGTGGCTTCGGGCCAGGGAAAGGGCAGGAGACATCTCTGTTCTAACAGCCAACTCCCTACCAGCCTCCTCTCTGTCTCAAACTGTTCCTGCCCAGTGCCCAGACAAATGGCAGATGCACCCCTGCCTCCAACCCATCTCTAGAACAGCTCTGATCACAGCATGAAAGCAATGGAAGAGAAATTGGCATTAAAGCCACGTGTCATTTAATTTAAGAGAAGTGGCCCTGGTGTCTGCACACAACCCAAGGAGACAGTTATTCAACACTGCACAGCTATAAGGTTGGTGTTATTTGGGATTTTTGTGAATAGAAAAGCTTTCCATCTATTGCTATCATTTTTGACAGAGTTGTCAGAGCTCACCACTTTCACTTTATGCCTCTGACCACACGGGCCTTTCCTGGGCAGCCTCTCCACCTCCTCACAGACTGAGGGCTAGGGCTGAGGGCTCACAGAGGAGCCTTGATGTTACAAGCTCCTTTCCACCTGGAAAAATGTCTGGATTTTTGATGATTAGATTTCACCAAAGTTCATCACTGGTAGCACAGAGCTGGACCACAAGATCACACAATGAGGTGTAAGTGACTTCTAGGGATGCCCATCTCTACATTGGACAGACTCAAACTTCTATCTGACAATGAGCTTCTTTGCTCGGATTCCTGTGCCCAGCATCCAGGACAGATGAGAGGAGCTTTGACTGGGAAGGGGGCATTTCTGGGGGGTTGGATGCTCCCTGCCATCAACATCACCAAAGCCATGCAGGCCTCCCTTGGCGCATGACAGCTTGTCACACTACCAAGGCCTTCCATTTACCTGATGCCCCAGGACCCATCATAAGGCATGGAAGAGAGCAGAGGGTGAGAGATTTGTTAAACAAAAGCCACCATATCCACGAGGACTCCCTGCTTGCCCCACCCCACCCAAGTCAGGCTTGGGCTCTCCCCTGAACTCACACTTTATTCCTTTTCTCCCTTTCTGGTGGCCCCAAACATGCCCTCCTGAATTTGGGGGAGTCAGGCCAACTTCCCAGAGAAAAACCTGAGTGGAGAAGGATGAATGTATCATCCCAAGAACAGGAGGAAAAGGCTTTCTAAAAGAGGGAACAGGGATGCAAATGCTTGTTGGTGGGGGAAGAGATTCTGGGTTTCATTTCTGGAAGCTTCCATTCCATACTCAGCCTCCTCTGCAAAATTAAGTCAGCCTCCTTCCTCACTTCAGCTTGGACATGACAAGAGCAGGGAAAAGTTAACATGTTTTGATCTTTGCTAAATCATGGAGGATTTCCATTATCGGCATAACAACTACTGGTGTGCAATTTTGCACTCCTACTACTATGTGCTAGTAAAGCAGTTACCCACAGGACCCCATAAGTTTCATAATAAAAAATCCACTTCTGCCGCTTTGAGGGAAAGGCAAGGGGACACTCAGGTGTGTTTAAACACAGCAGGTGCGCCTGCTCTACAGAACCCTCTAGCTCACATTCACTTCCTTCCAGGGTCCCATTACCCACCTCACTAACAAAAGTCTCGTTTTATAGACAGTGGACTGCAAACGTTGGCTTGGGTCTTTCTAAACATGGATTAAAAAGCAGTACAACTGGTATTTAACGCTGCTTATCCCTGGCCTGCCCCAAACAAAACCCAACCAAACAATGGGGCAGGAGGACATGTAGTTAGGTGTATTCAGTTGCTTCAGAGAGGAGTGGAGGCATGGAAAGGAGTTTAGGGAATTAATCCAAATGATGTAAGGATAAGTACTTAAGATGATAGAAAAGCACCATTAGCAGTCAAAACAAGAATGTTAATAGAAAGGGACACCCACCTTAGACCAGGAAAGCCAGTTTAGGTTTTCCACTTGCCATAATACAAACTTGGCATTTGGGGCAAATTTCCTTAGGCTATTAAATTTATAGGAAAAATATTAAAAAGCAGCTCGGGGTGCCTCTCAGCCACTGACGGTGGCGCTCATCACACTCGGGGTTCGAGAGCCCTGCTGTCAACACTGGCTTCCCTTCATCCCTGTCCCCGTGCCCCACCCTCTATCGGTAGTCCCTGTGGTACGTGTTTCAGTGTGTACCTGTCTTTTCATTGAGGTAAAATATAAAATATACTCCCATAGCCACTTGTAAGTGTACAGTCCAAGGGCATTAAGTACACATACAGTTGTGCAACGATCACCCAGCTTCTGTCCCCAGAGCATTTTCATCACCCCACCTGACACTCTACCCGCTAAACATTAACTCTGCATTCCCCACCCCACCCCCAGACCCCGCAATCACCATTCTGTTTTCTCTCTGAATCTGCCTAGCCTAGGGACCTCATGTACGTGGAATGTACTGGTCTTCTTAAAACTACAGAGTTGTTTTACGTATGCACGTGTTTTAAATGTGCATTACATACTATTCTGCAGATATCATGGCCTTTTTACGTTGCTTCACTTAATACTACTTTAAGATTTACCCCTCCTGATAAATGGTTCCCCTGGTTGGCTTCCTCCACCCCAGGTGCCGGCAGGTCCAAGGCCCCCTTAGTGGTCACGAGTGTACTTATGGGGCTGGGGGAGGGGTGGAGGGGGACCAGGATTTCCAGAATGGCCCAAATCAGCTTGAGGTCCCTGTCCTGGTCCCTGTCCCCAGCAGCACAGCCCTGGTCACAGCTCTGGGGGAAAACGAGGGTCTGAAACTCCACGGAGAACCTGGGCACGGCCTCAGTTTACTGGCCCATAAATCAGGTACAAGGCTTTCCGGGTTGATATTGGCTGACTCTAATTGGTGTTTTGTTTTATTTTAATTGTGCCTGAAAATTTCCAGGATGTTGAAAGGACAAGCCTGACAATGTCCCGTTGGCCCTAATCAGGCCACCTGAAAGGATTTTAGTCTTTAATTGCTGGTTTGCAAATAGATGCTAATTAAGTCAGGCAGCTGGCAACTCTGCTTGGAAGGGGCATTTAGCAGGTTAAGTCGAGGCCTATATTTCAAAGTGAGAAAAGGGCCTTTCTTCCATCCCTAGCAATCCTGGGAACTAGCCCCTTGCACTAGCAGGTGGGCTTGGCATTCAGACCAGGTTTGTGTCCTCCTCCTCCTCGCTGAGAGCCTGGACTGCTTTCCTACCACAGCCTCAGAGCCAGGGCAGGAATCAAAGCACTTGGTGTGCTGCAACTGATCCCAACCCGAGTCTACACCCACTCCAAATGCAGGAGAGTCAGATTCCCCAATTTCCTCTGATAGTCTCTCCAAAGTCTCTCTGCAGACTGGTAACCTGGCCACGTAGCCTCAAGCATTGCTCCACCAGCCTCAGACCCCCCAAACGCCAGGCTCACCCAACCCAGATCCTTCTGGCTCCAGGCAGGCAAGACCAGGGCTGGAGCTCCAGGAAGCCTTGGGAAGTGACAGGGACCTTCTGAGAGGAGATGGGAGATTGGCCAGGTTCTGAGCCCTGTCGGTGGGTGACCCCTGGAAGCTCTGGACTCTACCGTGAAGGAGCTGGTAGCCTGAGGTCAGACCACGCGGTGAGTCGTGGCTTCTGGGGTACTGGGCCTGGTTAACGAGGCTGACTCAGCCTGTGGTCAGCCTAGCTGGTGGAGCTGCCTCAGAGGGAGGTAGGCTGGCCAAGGGCTACATTAGGAGAGGATGTATAGAATACAGGGATGTATAGGATGATCAATTTTTTTACTGATGAGTGATCAAAATGCTTGGGGCAAAAGATCTTGGAAAGACCTAGTGCCCTGAACTGGTTTCCTATTGGGGCTATAACAAGTTAGCACACACTCGGTGACTTAAAAACAACACAGATTTGTTACCTGCATTTCTGGAGGCTCCAGGGGAAAACCCATTTCCTTACTTTTGTCACTTTCTAGAAGCTACCTGTGCTCTTTGGTTCACGATCCTTTTCCTTCCAGGATCACAGCTCCTCACTTTAACCCTCCTGCCTCATCCTCCTCCTCCCCCCTCTTTCTCCACCTCCACCTCTTCCTCCATCACCACCACCACCTGCCCCCCCTCCCTTATAAGGACCTTTGTGATTACATCATTGGGCCCACCTGGATGATCCAGGGCCCTCATCTCAATAACCCTTAACTTCACCACACCAGTGAAGCCCTTGTTGCCATGTAAGGGACCTTATTCACAGGTTCTGGGGATTAGGTGTGGACATCCTCAGGGAGCTATCAGCCTGTCCCTCCCCACCACATGCCCCTTCTGTGCAGTGCAGATAAGGAAACAGGGAAGTCCCTGCATCTGGGCTTCCACCCCTTTTGGGTCACAGTTATTGGCTAGTTTTGCAGAGACTCTGAACTCAGATCCCAGCCACCTCTCATTTGATGTCTGGACTCCTACAGCATCTTCTAAAGGACCCTCTGATTTTCATCTCTGGCCCTAAAGCTCCCACTTTTAAACAGCTACCGGGATGTCTGAGCAGCATCCCCCCAACTATTATGCCCCAACTGCTCTCTTGCTCCACACCTGCCTCCTCTCCAGCTGTCTCCAGCTCCCCAAAAGGCCCCTCCATCCAGCCAGAGCTCATGCCAAACCCAGGACCCCTCCCTGCACTCCTCTCTTCTCTATCGACTCTGCTCCTGGGTCAGGCCAGAGTCGCCACCCTCTGCCCTCAGGGAGCCTGCAATAGCATCAGCCCAACCCATCTCCTGGCTTCCACCCCTGCCCCCCTTCCTCACCATCCTCCACAGCAGCCAGCACAGGCAGCTTCACATAAGCCAGAGGAGGACACAACTCTCTTCCATTCTTTCCAGGTGCTCCCCTCACTTAAAGAAAAGACTCAACGTTTTGAAGACAATCTCCCAGGTTCCACGACATCCAGCCTCGCTTACCTTACCCTCCCAGAGCACCAGCCACAATGACCCTCTTTGTGTTCCTCCAACAAGACATGCCCATTTCTACCTCAGGGCCTTTGCACATGCTGCTCCTGCTGCCTGGGATGCTCCTCTTAAGACTCAGGTGGCATCACCTCCTCAGAGACGTCTTCCTCGTGTGCCCTGTGTAAAATTGCCCCTCCCCCACTACCTTGACTTGCTTTATTTCTTCACATCGGCTGCCATGTAGGTTCACTCATTTCCTTGCAATCTGTCTGTCCCTCTGCTAGAATGTCAACAACATGAGGGCAGGTATTTGTGCATGCCTGTCAAGACCAAATCCCCAGTGCTTGGCACACAGTAATGCTCCAAAAATGCATACTGAGTGAATGGGTGAATGAACAAATGCATGAGCCAGTCTCATCACCCAGCCTGGCCACCTCCAACCCTGTGTCCACCAAACTGCCAGGGAGATCATCCAAGTCAACCACCCCGTACTTGTCAGAAGTCTGTTACAGTCCTCACCCCATCCCCACCGGCAGGATAAAATTCAAAGCCCACAACACAGCATGTTGAAGCCCTTCCCAGCACATCCTGACGCTCCCTACTTTTCTGGACTCATCTCCCCTCCCTCCTCTGAGCTCCCTGCATCCACACAGACCTTTCCCAGAATATTCCATTCTTGACCCTGTTTCCAGGCCTTTAAGCACACTGTCCCACCCTGCCTGGAATGCACCCTTCCTCAAGTCCTTCCTGAATACTCCTACATATGCTTCAGAACCTCATTCAAAAGACTCCCTCATGAAGCCTTCCCTGATACTCCCTGCACCCTCAGCAACTACCAGCTTTCTGCTGTGCTCCCCAAGCCCTCAGTCAGGCCTCTTAGGCCATGATCAGTAGTAGCTCAGGGATTGCTTGCATCCAGCTCTGTCTTGACCAACAGGTACCAAACTCCTAAGCAAGGTTAGGCCCCTCACCTTTCTCATCGCTGCCCATCATGCGGCCTGATGACTAGGGGCTTGTTTGACAAATAAAAGAACAAAGCACAGAAGGCCCTGTGGTTTCACTATTCCCCTCTCACACTCATGTATTCACCAAATGTTAACTGGATTTTGAGTGAGCACTTATTACCTACAGCCCAGCCAGTGGCAGCCCCTGCCCTCCCAGGGGGTCCTGTGCCTTCTCCATGGGCCTCTAGCTTAGCCCAGTGTCTTTGAAATGGAAGAGGAAAAAGGATGGTGTATTTCCCAAGGACATTCCTCTCCTCTGCTGCCCCCGCACACATAGCCCCATTCACACCACGCAGGAACATAAAAATCGCCACATAGCACAGTGCGTGGCTAGCAGTAGGTGCTCAGTAAATGCCAGCAGACCCTGCGCAGCCCTGCCCCACCCCGTGATTCCCAGGCAGACACCCTCCTCAGTGCATTCACCACTTCACCCCTCTCCAAGGCCCCCAAGCCTTCCCTGACAGGGTGAAGGCTTGGTGCTTCTGACCCCATCTGCCCTCTGACTTCTGGTCTTGAGAGTCCAGGGCAGTGGGGAAGGTGGAATCAGAGGCCTCACTGTCTAGCACAGAGACCAAAAGTTCAGGTCCTCGTTGCCACCGTCCCTGCCCTGTTCTCAGCTTCCCAACCGTGGCCTCCGGCTCCAGGGTGGCGTTTTGAACTCATTATTACCCCAGCTCCTGCCACTCCGTAGTGGGTGATGGATGCAGAAACACCTGGGCCCCCTTCCAGGAGCAGCAGAGCCAGGGAAACCCTGGGGCACTGGGTAGAAGCAGGAAGCTGATGCTTCCAGATGCCCCAAAGGCCTGGCCCCCCCCCCCCCCCGCAGCCAGCTGCTTTGTCCAGGGCAGCCCTGACTTAGCTGCCCTGGCTGCTCGTGCCACACTCAACGTGCCAGGCCGTGACCAGGCTTTGACCCATGCGCCAGCCCAGCAGCGTCCTGAAGGGATGGACCACCTCCCCGTGCAGACAGGAGAGGGAGGGGACCAAGAAGAACTGGGCATGCGTGTGCACCCAGTTCCAGGACCCTGGTACCACAGGAGCAGCCGTAGCTGGTTACCTAGGCCGGGCGCTCCACAGGCGTCACCTCATGTGGCCCTCACAGTGCCTGCTGTGCAGATGTGCCAAGTAGTGCTAGGGGTGGGGGGCAGCCCAACCAAAGCCTCTTGGCTTTCCAAGGGGTGGAGATGGCATCTGAACTCAGAGCTGTATGACCCGAAGCCACCGTAAGGGCCACCAGCCCCTACACTCTACAGGCTCCCTGGAGCAGGGGGCTAAGGATTAAAGGGTTTCAGGCAGTCACCACACCAGGTTGCTCGGTTGCTCGCAGGGTGCCCGGCCCCTCCCCCCACCACCTGCAAGGTGGTCTGATGTAACACAAGGAGCACTGGATTGGGAGTCCAGAGGCCTGCGTTCAAGTTCCAGGTCTACTACCACAATCAGTCCCCGCCCTTTGCTTATCTGGGCCTCAGTTTCCCCTCCCACGCAAGTTCCAGGGTCGGCCTGGCCCAGGGTGGCTCTGGGGCCGTTTCTGCTCCACCCGTACTCTGAATCAAGGGTTCCCCTGGCCTCCGCCGCGGCCCCCTAACTCATGTGCTTGCAACTTGAGGCGCCTCTCCATGTGCATCCCAACAGCACACACCTCTGTTGATCCGTGGGATGGAGAGGACGTCCCCCCCCCCCCACGGGGCTCCTGCACCTCCTGGGTCACTTGCGGGGGCTTGGGGAGGAGGGGTGGCGCCGGGAGCTGCCCACTGCGCGGCTACTTAACAAAGACGGCGACCCGCAGCCCCGGGGCCTCTCGGTTCCCGTTCCGTAGAGGGCGCCTACACTGCGCCGTCGGGGCGACACCCTGGGGACACGGGGGCGAGCGCACCACGGACGCGGGGCCCGGAGCCCAGGCTGGGTCCCCGCGCCGGGCGTCCACGGGGCACGGCGGGGCGCGCCTCGGGCCTTGCAGGGCCTCCCCGGGGAGGACGGGGACCCCCCCCCCAGCACCCGTCGCGGCGACTCCCTGTTCCCAGGGGTCCGAACGCCCCAGGACCCGCGCTGGGGGCTGAGCCCGGCGCCCGTGCCCCGACCTGCGAGCACAGTGGTGCCTCGGCGGCGAGCCCGCCCCCCGCGCCCCCCGTCCAGCTCCCCTCCCCCCGCCTCCCTCCACGACCACTGACCATAGTGGCCGCAGCCGTCGGGCCAGGTCCCGCCCCAGCGGGCAGCGATCCGGTGCGGGAGGGCGCCGCGGGAGCCACCGGCTGGCTCCGCCGTTGGGCCGGGCGGCGGGGGCCTCGAGGGCGCGGGGGCGAGCGGAGAATGCACCCGACCGCTCCGCAAACCTCGGGCTAGACCTCCACTGTGTCCCAGCGAGACGCACGCCCCGCGATTGACGTCTCAGGCGGGCAATCAGCAGCTGGGACGCAGGACGTCACAGAAAGTGGGTGGGACTCCACGCGCCTTCAGCCTATGCTTCAGGGTTTATTTGACAGGGCACCGCCCCCTTTTAAAGACACAGAAAGCTTTTAACTAGCAAAGGAGTTAGCCCGACCCAAAAAGGCAGGGCTTCATTTGTAAAGGCTGAAGGGCTTTTGACCAAAACTGCAAATTGAGGCCTCCTGAAAGATTAGTCGGCTCTCATTAATTTCTCAACAAGGCCACGTAAGTATAGTTTGCTCCAGATCAGAGGACAGGTGCTTGGGGAACACGTGCCCAATAACATCAAGTTACCTGCCTGCCCTTGTGTAGCTTCTAAATAATGTTTTACCCACTTCCAACTCATGAGTCAGTCGGTTAGCAGGCACCCAATTAATGGTTGTTGAGTGAATGAATTTCCAGGATTGTTGATGCTGTGCCTCTGGAATCCTAAGGCTGCATACGTGTGGCACAGACGTAAATCAGGTCTGGTGACTCAGCCTGCATACAAGCTCATTATTACGGAACATCAAACACAGGAATATGTATCATTCAAAGATTCATTCCCCAGCCCTGCCCCCCTTCCCCAGGAGATGCTTCCAGTGGGGGAGGGAGGGTTTCTGGGGAAGGGGGGGCTCCAGTGCATTCCATGCATCAATTTACAGGTGTCAAAACTCCCAGGTCCGTGTGTTAAGCAATTGCCCATTCCCATGCTCACTGTCCTGCCCCAGGTACCAGGCTTGACTCTTGGACAAACAAACATCTGTGTCTTCCAAGTGCACATCATTTACTACGCGGGGAATCTAGGCTTTAATCGTAGTTGGAGGAGCGAGAACAACAAAGATGAGTTTTTATTGAACACTCACTGTGTACTGGGCGCTGTCCTCAACTCTCAACCTGTATCATCCTACTTAATGTTCTGACAACTAATTTACAGGGATAAGTTGCCTTATTATCATCCCTATGATCCTTGTTTTACAGATGAGGAAACTGAGGCACAGAGACATTTAAGGTACTTACCCAAATTCGCCCACCATACAGTGGGATTCGATCCCAGGCAGCCTGACTCTGGAGCTGGTTCCAGACTCATTCTGCTGAGGAACCATGCATGTGATGATGAGGGTGCGTACCACCACGCCCCTGTTTGCTTTTGGAGGCTCTGCTCCTTGTTTTTTTTTATAGCCAAGGGAGTCAGAGAGGTAAGAGAAGCAGCCCAGTGCTGCTCAGCGACAAAGTGGCCTAGCCAGGCTGGTTCCCCAGACTTTTGACTCCTCGTCCGGTGCTCACTGAAAGCTGTGCTGGGCTTCACTCCGTGTGGAAATACCTGAGCCAGGTGTACTTCCACGAAGAGCGGGTGATGAGTCTTTGCTGGGGAAGGGAGGGCACAGGCTTAGCCCTGATCAAGCTCACAGCTGAGGCGTTGAGGGCCTCCGGGAGGAGGACCCTGAGTGGGCTGAGGCTTCTAGGAGCCCTGTGTTGAGCCATACTAGGCCTCGAGCCCTTGGTCCACTTTCCTCCCCTCCCCAGGCCACAGCAGCTCCAAGCTAAGCTGGCATCCCAAGAAGGAACATTGGGCTGGAATTCCCAGGGAACACTGGGCTCCAGACCGGCTCTAGACTCTGCCACTCACTGCTGCGTGGCCTCAGACGACTTCCAGGCCCTCTCTGGGCCTCTGATTCCCCTCTTATTGAGAGGGTTGGACAATTGGAGCAATTTAAAAAAATACTTAAAAAATATTTTTAGTAGTGAGCCTTTTAAACAAACAAACAAAAAATCTTACCCAGAATCTCCATATATGCGTAATGGACTCTATCCTTTACTGCAGCTGGAATGAGCAGGGAAAACTATAATCTCCTGATTCCTAACCCATCTAAGCTCTCCAAGGAAGAAAGAGTCTAGCTGGTTTTCAGGTGGGGTCTGAGTTGAAAATGTGAACAGTCCTTTCAGGGCCTGCCCCATGGAGCCCCTGTCCCTGTCCTTCTATGGTGCTGGTCCCTGTGGTTGTGACTTGGCCGGGGCAGTAGGACATGATAATTACAGGTGTGGGCAGTTGCATCAAGAGTATTTGTGTCACAATTCCCATGTAATAGCTTTTGAGCAAGCCACACCTCCCTGTGCCTCTGTTTCCTTGTTTGTAAAGTGGGGGTGTTGGTACCTACCTCAAAGGTCGGTTGCAAAGACTCAATGAGCTGACCCTGAAAAGCACTTGACACTGTGCCTGGTATCCAGGAAGTACCCAAAATATGTGGGCTTTCCAGGGGCCTGAGTCTTGTTCATCCTTCTGGGATGGAGCCTGAGGGGGACAAGGTAAGAACTCGCATGTGGCAGGGAGGAGTTCCAAGGCTGGTGTGCCTGTGCACCTGCAAGGGGGGGGTGTCTGCCCTCTGCTAGATCAGTGAGACAAAGCTGGGACCTCAGGTGGCTACACCGTGTGGCCAGGAGCTGGTGGCGGAAGCCCATCTTTCTGCTGCTCTTTACACTGACCACACTCTCCCTCCCCCGTGAACCCCTGAACCCCGGCCCCAGCACTGTGCAGGGGGGACCAGGATGCTGGGCGACCTGTCAAGTGCTTTACGTCCTTGCACAACCCAACGCTGCCCTCCGGGCTGCTCCCACCCCATCGTTATTGTGCAGAGCCTGTAACTTTGAGCTGGAAAGCTTGAGGTGCAAACCTGTGTGTTGTTTCCCTGATGGGGGGAGATCAGGAAAAATCAGAGCTGGACTTAGTCCCCTCCCCTCCCCCACGCCTGTCCCCTGGGAGCTGCCGGCCAGCCCTGGAGGTAGTGGGTTGCCCTGGTTCCCACTCCCAGGGGCAGGAATGAGGAGAAACCATTTATTTTTCAGAAAAGGCATTTCCAAGAAAAACAATGAAAGTTGGGAGAGTTGAGAATGGGTAGGCAGGTCTGACTGAATAGGGAGAGAACATTCTGGAATCTGGGAAGCGGTGGAAGCAGGTGTCCCAGAACAAGGGGCGCTCTTCACTCTCCTGTCACCTGTTGGCACCGCCCAAGGGAACACAGGATCCTGACCTGGCAAAGATCCTTTCTGTGCCCGCCTTCAAAGCACAGTGTATGTTAGGTCGGGGGTGGGGGCGGTGCAGGACCCAAGGCCATTCATTCAACACTCAGCAAAGATTTACTGCACATCTGACAGGCAGATGCGTGACTGGCACCGACTATGCACATCTGTGCACAAAAATGACAAAAACTCGCTGCCTTCACTCAGCCTCCATTCTCACGGGTACGTCACCACCAATGACTCTGCACTGAACCAGTTGCGCAGGACCACACAACCCCCAACGGGTTGGCGGAGGATGGAGAGGGAACCCCCGCAAATGTTCGAGATTTAACTTTCCACCAGGCAGCCCGGGGAGAGGGGACCCACGGTGAGAGCTAACTCGAGTTAGACCACAAAAGGCATGTGGCCTCTCTTGGACCCCGCAGGACGGTTCCAGGGAGCCAGTCCCACGACGGGCTGCTCGGGCTTCCCAAATGTGAGACAAGGAAATCTAGAAGAGAAATACTTTTGTGAGGCTGGGTTCCCCCAAGTCTCTGCTCACTGTTCAGATTAAACACAGCCTGCAGCCCCCGGAGAGGAGTAGATGGGCCAGGTTTCCAGCCAGCTGCCCACCGTGTGCTTCCCCAGGCCTGGGCTCTGAAAGCCAACATGTCTTCAGCTCAGACAGCAAGTGTTATACCCCCGCAGCCTCGGGGGGCTGGGTGGGCAGGGCTCCCTGCTTCCATGGGAGGAGAAAGCAGTGGGTATGGTTCATAGGAAGCTGAGGCCAGGGCAGGGTGGGGGCCCTGGGCTTGGTGGGCGCTGCTAGTCCCAGCCCTGGCCTCACCATCCTCGGAGGGGGCAGAGAGCCCACCTCCTGGACGTGTCCTAGTTAGGAGACCTGTGGCAGGTCTGTGACCTCTGTGAGAGGCAGCCTCTAACGGCCTCCAGCAACCAGCTTCTTGTGTTCACACCACCGTGACCCTCTCCCCTCAAGCGTGGGCTCGACTTCAGGGGACAGTTGCCACCTCTGAGAGTAGGACTGTGGCTTCTGTCCTGCTTGCTCCCCCTTCTCTGTCATCGGCCACCTGGTGGTCAGGCCCCAGTCCCACAGCCTGTGAGGAACTTTTCCCAATGGCCACGTGCATGAGCCTGGAAGCTGATTCTCCTCTGGTCAAGCCTTCAGATGAAGCCACAGGTTTGGCTGACAGCTGGACTGAAGCTTAGTGGAGAGACCTGGAGCCAGAGGACCCAGCCCCACCCAGATGCTTGACCCCAGGAATAATAAGGAGGTAATAAATGTTCATTATCTTCAGCAGAGTTGGGGGGTGACTTGTTACACAGCCTCCGATGACTAATACAGCCTCTCTTGCTCTTAGCCACAGTCCACTTTTCTATGAAATGAGATTAATGATACTTGTGTCTCTGGGGAACCGTGTGGGTGACCCCCCATCACTTCCTCAGACCCCCGTTGGAGGCCCAGTGGGGCTTCTACCCCCACCGTCTTCTCTATTGCTTTAGCCACACAAGACAATGTCTAATTGCAAACTCTGGAAAGTGTTGGAAAGAAAGAGGATAGGGTACGGTGGGAGCAGGTAACTGAGGGCTCTGGCCTTGTCTGGAGGTGAGTTTTGAGCTGAAATCTAAAGGGTGGGTTGGAGGAGGTGTCATTTGTCCTCTTCCCTGCCCCCAGCATTAGTCTCTTTCTCAGCACTTCATGACTCCCGGCCCACCCTTGCTTGATCACAGGGCATGACTCCTCCTGTGTGCCTGCCTTGGGTAAAGTCCCAGAGGGCAGGGACCAGGTGACCAAAGTACACTGGGCAGGGGGCTCGTGGCAGGTGCTGCTGTGGTCCTCCGGGTTGGAGACGGGCGTGCAGGGACTAGGACAGGGCCCATAGAGCAGGGAAGTGTGCAGTGTCGGGAGAAGGCCATGTGGACAGGACCTGGTGGCGGGCTGGGTGTAGAATGGCAGGAGGGAGGGTCCAGGGTGACGCGAGGTCTGCTGGCCCAGGGGACAGGTGGGAGAGCCGGCAGGAGACAGCATGGGCTGTTAGCAGAGCTTGGTGCCCGAACAAATCCCATGAATCCCATCTCCCAGGACATGAAAAATGGAAAAGTTCAGGCCTCTGTGATCCCTGGAAACTCCTTAGGCCTCTGGGGAGCCTGTGCTTACAGATAATGGAGGTGGTGTGGGGTAAGTGCTGGCTCCCCCGCCTGGGTCCCAGGGGGGGCCCCACACCCAGAGCTCTGCCAGCCAGAACTGGAAGGACAGCAGACACATAGAACAGCTCCCTGGAGCATCTGCTGTCCTCAAAGATATTTTGTAGGTAGAAAACATGATTTTATATATATATATATATATATATATATATATATATATATATATGAATAACGTATTATGAAACACAATGCGAATCAGCTTTTAAAAAAATTTTCAGATGAAACAAAAGTGCAAAGCTGCTCCGTTCCCCTCAGGCCTGAGCACCAGGTCCCCGAAAGTCTGGGTTCACTCTCCTCTGCCAATAGAGGCATTTGGGGGAAAGTTCTAGAAACTTGAATTAGGAAAAGTGCCCTAGCTTTGAGGTCAGCCAGGCTTGGGTTCCGCCACTTGTTTGCTGTGTGACCTGGAGCCAGTTACTGCACCTCTCTGAGTTAAAGTATTCGTTTCGGTTGTCTTAGAAAAACCCTGTCCCTCCCAGAAGGACTTTGAGGACACGTTCCTCTCGGACCGGCTTTCCGACTCCTGATTCTCACCTTCTTACTACTTGCTGAAGGAGAATGAAAACTCGTTCATCTTCTAGGTGGCAGCTCCATTTGGAGCCCGTGGACTGGGGCTAATGTCCCCGCTCCTCCACTGAGCGGCTGTGTCGCCTTGGGCCAGCCACTTAACCGCGGAGCTGCAGCCTCCCCTTCTGTAACATGGAGCCAGAAAACTAAGGCTAGAGACCAGTGGAAACTAATTCAGAGCCAGAGTCCCCAAACGCGGACGAAAGGCAATAGTCAGGGGGCTGAGAACACTGGCTTCAGTCCTGAAGATGGTCCTGCAGGTGAATAAATTGGCAGGTGGCCTTTTTCTCAGGGACACCAAAGGGAGGATCTGTGAGATGCCAAGAAGAGTTAGTTTCCAATTAATCTTCCCAACTTTTCAGTAAAGCTTTCTTTTTCCAGTTATAAAAGTGCACCATGCTCACTGCAGAAACTCCAGAGAATACACCAAAGTGTAGGGATACACCAAAGTGGGGGGCTCAGCGGTTGAGCGTCTGCCTTGGGCTCAGGGTGTGACCCCAGGGTTCCGGGATCGAGTCCCACATCGGGCTCTCCGCAGCGAGCCTGCTTCTCCCTCTGCCTGTGTCTCTGCCTCTCTCTCTGTGTCTCTCATGAATAAATAAATAAAATCTTTTTAAAAATACACAAAAGTATAAAGAAGAAAATGAAAGAGTAGGGTCCTAGGATCCAAAGCCACATCATCATGGCAAAACAGCTCTTTTGGTGCACCGAGCATCCCAGCACCCCTCAGATACACAATCCACGCCCATCAGGTCGACTGGTGATCCTTGGGTTGGAGAGACAATGGCGTTGGAAGGAGTGTGCAGGTGTACCTAGCAGCCGCTGCTAGCTTCACTGGCTTGCCATTATGAGCATTTATTTCTGGCTCAGGGTTAGCTGAGGATTGAATGATTCTTGTGCAGCCAAACTATGTGTTGGAGCCATGTCTGCTCCATGTGGCTCGTAACCCTCCAGAATCAAGGGGTTCCTAGGGGTACATTCCCTCCATAGCAGAGCTCACTGATGATAAGCCCGTGATGGGGGTGGGGGGGTGGGGGTGGGAGGTGCCAGGGGGGATCATGTTTTAAGCCTCTGATTATGTCATAACCCACTAATATCCTATTGGCCAAAGCGATTCACATGGCCAACCCATCATCAAGAGATGGAGAGGAGGGCAGCCTGGGTGGCTCAGTGGTTTAGCGCCGCCTTCAGCCCAGGGCATGACCCTGGAGACCCGGGATCGAGTCCCACATCGGGCTCCCTGCACGGAGCCTGCTTCTCCCTCTGCCTGTGTGTCTCTGCCTCTCTCTCTCTCTCTCTGTCTCTCATGAATAAATAAAATCTTAAAAAAAAGAGAGAGAGAGAGAGAGATGCCCACCAAGAGTCTCTGGCAAGTGCGTGGAAGTGGACACCACCGCGGGACAGTGAAAACTTGGGACCCCTGATTCAATCTGCTGCACTAGGTGGCTATTAACACCTGCCTCCTCCCGAGGATCATGATCCTCAAACCGATAAGCACTGGTTTAGTGCATATCCTTCCACTCTTTTATATAATTTTGACCAAATTTGGCTTATGTTCTGTTTTTCAAATTCCGATAGAATTTTTTTTTTACCAAGTTGAGCTTAAATTCTATTCTTTAAATCCCTGCTTCCCCCCCCCCACTTAACTTACATCCTTTATTTTTCCTTCTATAATTTTTGAAAACATGTAATTGCATGGCTGCAGAATTATAAAATCATAAAGTTTGGGCATTACTTATTGAGCTCTTTTTCTGAGATACTTCAGTTCTTTCCAGTTTGGTTATTATAAATAACAATGTGGTGGACATCTTTGTCTAAACACTCTGCCGGCATCTGTAACGGGCATTTCTGGGTTTTGCCCACCCAGCCTCAGGTCCCACCTCCCCGTGATCACAGTAGCCTGGTGTCCCTTGGGGAGAACCATATCTCCCCTTCATTCAACCCATGTAGTTCATGTGGCACCCACCACCAGCTCCAGAGGAAGGACTCTAGCCATAAAAGATATTGCACCTCACTTAAACTCAAAATTTGACCCAGACCTGGCCAATCAGAGGATGCAGTTCCCTCTAGTTACAGAGATTAGTTAAGGATGGATGCACAGCCAAAGCTTGGCCAATGAGGGATTTGTTTAAAGAGAGGCACCTGCCCCTAGGCGAACCCATCACAGTGAACCGTGGGACTTGCCCTGAGACTTTGAGGGGACATTGTTTCTTCCTCTGACCTCAACTCTGGAGGATGCAGGGGGGAGATCGTTTACATGGAACCAGAGAATGAAGCCAAGGTGTAGAAGAGTAGAGCCCAGAGACAGAGACAGGATTCTGTGGACACTGACCACCTGATCAAGCTGGACCTGAACCTAGGGTCCCTGGCCTTTCAGTTTCATAAGCCAGTGAATTCCCTTATTGGCTTAAGCCAAGTTGAGTTGGGCTCGCTGTCATTTTTGAACCAAATAGCTCCATTTTTTGTTTTTGTTTTTTGTTTTTTTTTTTTAGCTTAAACTTCTTGGCTTGAAATCATTGAGCCAAAGGACATAAACATTTTTCAAAGCCTCTTGGGACCTCTAATCAAATTGCTTTCTGAAGTTTGTGTAAACAGTATCGCACTTTAGGCAGCCTATCTAACAAGCATTAGTGTATTAGCTTAAATTTTTTTACCGGCAGAAATTAAATGTTTTAATCTTTTTAGTGAGGTGAAATATTTTTCATGTTTATAGATCATTTTTATTTTGTGATTTTCTGAATATGAACAGTGGTAATTTACTTTGTGACAGCTTTTTAAATATCAAAACCACTGATCCTTTTCCAAATTTATCACCATTTCTTTTTTTTTAAAGATTTTATTTATTCATGATATATTCATGATAGACAAAGAGAGAGAGAGAGAGAGAGAGGCAGAGACACAGGCAGAGGGAGAAGCAGGCTCCATGCAGGGAGCCCGACATGGGACTCCATCCCGGGACTCCAGGATGGCGCCCTGGGCCAAAGGCAGGCACTCAACCGCTGAGCCACCCAGGGATCCCCAATTTATCACCATTTCCTCCCAGTTTATTGTCCTCAGATATTTTGATATGTCTTGAGGTAGATGCATTTCTAATTTTTATGTAGTCAAATTATTTTCAGGTATACTTCTGTGGCTTTCGTGCTTCCAAAGTGCTTCCTGACCGAAGAGCAGGGCAACACAGACCAGATTTTCTTCTTTTTGGGCGTTTGCACACCCAGTATTTCTCACCCTATGCTGGGAGAGACATCTCATTGGAACTGCCCAGTTCCTGCCTGGAACCACCTGGAACTCCCATAGCAACTGCCTTGCTAAGAATGCAAATTTCTGGGCCCCACCTCAGAACCAGCACCTTCCAGAATAGGTTCCAGGCATCTCCGTGGTTAGCGACTGTCGTAGTAGTTTCAATGATGTGGAAGTTGGAAAGCAACCACTCAAAGGAACTGGAACGTCCCACTGTGTATAGTCTAGAAAGAGGACATAATTTTATTTTCCCACCAAATGTCCAAGCTTTTCAGCACCAACCATTTGCCAATAAACCAACTTTCCCAGGATGGTGTGGAGGAAGAATTTTTCTCACACTTGAAGTTACTTAAAGCTGGAATCCGTTGGCAGGTAATGAGCTCACCGTGTCACAAACTGTCCAAGCCCTGAACCACCTGGTGTCTTGGGGTCTTGGGGTCTCAGGATCTGATCGGGCGATCAGATGAGGTGACATTTCATCAGGTACCTGACCCCTGCTTTTTTCTCCAAATGCACTTGAAGGCTTTTCTCCAGCTAACATGAAACCCAAGAAAAAAGCACTTTAAAGGTACAGGGTTGGGGCTGAGATAGCTTTCTGTTTGACCACAAAGACCAGAAAGGATAAACCCCGGCGTTCTAGTACCTGCCTGCAGCAGCATCGCCAAGCCCAGCATCCTATCCGTCTATTTCATAACCCAAGCCCCTCTCAGTGGAGGCTGGGAGCTCCTGAAAGACCTGGTGCCCATTGCAAATGTAGATTGATGGCCAGGCCACTGCCACCCCAGGCACCTGTTCTGATCATCCTCTTCCCTCCCTGAGGAGTGTGACAAAAGACCTGAAGTAGACCTCCAAATGCACACCCAGTGCCCAGCATGCGGATGGCAGGGGGCAGGAGGACAACAGCCCCCCCCCCAAGGTGTCCTCACACCTGGAACAGCCAGGAAGCCAGAGAACCATGCCCTGGGCCTATAAAAAGGTATATGTCCCCTGCCACCCGGGAGGTTAGGGTGGGGATGGTGCTCCCACGCTGCCAGGTCCAGTCTTGTCATGCAGATGGGACACTGAAGTCCAGTCAGGGGGAGGAGCAGGGCCGGCTTAGGCATTTGGGATTTGCTATTCCTCCAAAGCAGCAGTTCCCAAAGTGATCCCAGCACCTAAGGCATCAGCATCTCTTGGGAATCACATTAGAAATGCAAATCCTCAGGCCTCTAAGACCCCAGGTTGTTCGATCAGAAGCCCCTGGAGTAGGGCCACGCTCTGTGTTTTCGCAAGTCTTCCCAATGAATGTTGGAATCGAAGAACCATTGGCCTAGCACATGCCCACATCACAGGGGATTGATGGGATGCCTTAGATCTCTTTGGAGAGCAGACTGTCGTGGCAGAGGGAGAACTGGGAAAGGCTAAGAAGGTGGGAGCCTCCCTGCAAGGGACTAAGTCCTCCCGTCCCAAATTCACGTGGTGAAATCCCAACCCCTGGTGTGTTAGGAGGTGGAGCCTTTGGGAGTGAGTAGGTCCTGCAGGTGGAGCCCCCATGAGTGGGATTAGTGCCCTGATAAGAAAGACCCCGTAGAGCTGCCTCGCCCCTGCCACCACGTGAAGACACAACAAGAATGTGGCCATCTGAGAACAGGGAGTGGGCCCTCGCCATGCAACCAACCCACCAGTGCCTTGGTCTGGGACTTCCGGTCTCCATAAGTATGAGAAGTAAATGTCTGTGGTGTGAAGCCCCTGGTCTACGGGCTTCTGGGATAGCAGCCCGAGTGGACCAAGGCACCCCTACACGTGGCCTCCAGACCCAAACCCCAACCTTGGAGCCCGGCCCATGGACCCCATGAGGGGTCTACAGTCCACCTTCTCAGACCACCAGTCAGGTTCTTCATGCTCTGGCCAAACTGGAAGACCCTCCCCCTTGTGTTCGCTTGACCTTCAGAGCCGTCCCACCACCTTGGCCTTCTCAAACCTGACTGGAGCCCGACCTGAGATGTTCACTTTGCTCCAAAGGCCTGTGAGGTCAGAACTCGAAGCAATGGTCCCTCCTCGGCTCTCCTTTGGTGAAGCTGCACGTAGAGACCCGGCCACACTCAGTCTTATTATACGTACGTAGCTTCCCTGATTGATTCGGCAGCTACAACCCATTCATGCTCCCACCTTCCCTCCCTCAGAGCTTCCTGACCCCTCTCCCAGCTACCCCTGAGAAACAGAGGCCTTCTGTGTTTGTTGACTGCATAGCAGCATCTTTTCTGAAACTCTTCTTTGAAAGTCAATTTGCTGACCACTGTGGCAGCTCATCAGTTGCTCGTAACTGGCCCCTTTTACCCAAACCGATAAACCAACGCAGACTTCCAGAGCTGAATTCTTTCCAGGGCTGCAGGGGCTGCTTGGAGGATTTTACACCAGTGACACAATAAAACCAAACCAGTGCCTTCCATGCAGACCCAGCTCTTCTGACACTGACCTAAAAATGTCAGACTGGGGAGGGGACTCCCTTAAACACCCTCTCACCCAATCCTACAAGTGGCAAAACCAGCCTGGGGAAGGGCTTTGCCTGGCCAACGTCTACCTGAGAGCAGCATTCACTTTAGGCAGCTCCGACTCTCAGGAAGGCAGCAGATCTGACTCGGTATTCAGCTTCTGAGAACCAGTGATGAGATGCCCCCAGCAGAAAATTCAGTCCCCCATCTACTGTGCTCCCCAGGCTGCTGTGGGCAAGGCCAGCTCCCATGCATCCTACGGCCCTGGGTGGCTCTGTATGAGAATGTCTGTGATTTGGATATTCCTAAAATCTGGGCATCTATCTACAACTCTTCTTAGACCCACTGATCACTGTGAGCATGTGACCCTGGCCCCTAGAGGTAGACCTCCCACCTGGCTGCTGGGTCCAACCGGGGAACACCCCCCCCACACACCCCTTCCTCATTCCCAGCCTCCATGCCTGCTAATCCCTCAGGACAGGGAACAGCACCCACCCCCATCCCCAAGGCTGACTCCTGCCCACTTGAGGGTGCTGTGATGAGAAAAGAAGGTTGGACAGGTAAGAAGATGGTCATGATGCTGGCAGGGCCTGCATGGCCACTAGCTGGGTCAGTGCGGGCTGGAGCAGTCTGAAGTCTGGGTGCCTGGAAAAGGGGTTCTGGGAACCGAGTCTTGATCCCTTGGGCATTTCCCGAAGGATCTGGGGTATCTTCTGGGGTCCTTGAGACTGTCCCCTAACCAGCATACTCTGGGTTCCATGAGCAGTGAGATAAATCTCATTGTCTCCATTTTGTCCAACATAAATTCCTGGGAGGAAAAAGAGATCTCTCTCACCTGCTGGTGCTTTGACACCCCTTCCCAAGGACCAAAGCACCATCAGAGGTGAGCTACACCTTGCTTAACTTTCACAAGCATCCTGCAAAGGGTATGGTATCAGTGACACTTGGCCAATGAGCAAATTGAAGCTCAATGAGGTTAAGCGACTTACCTGGAGCAGCACAGCCCACGGGTGGCCAAGCTGGATGGCAGAGTCCAGGTTCTGGTGTGGTTTCCTGAATGTGGTTGCTTGCCTCTTTTCACTGCTTCCTCCAGGAAGCCCACCCTGACTGCCCTCAGCTTCCCTCTCTGAGAGGCATTCTTTTCATAAGGATCTTCCATCTCCAACTCTTTACCTAGCACAATGCTGAGCGACTCAATACGTCTTAGTTGAGTGATTGTTGCAGGAGACCCAGGGCACCCCTTGTCATCACCGTGTAATTTCTTCCCTTTTCTTGGGAGGAAGATGAAATTAATGCACTGTGACTACTTAGACAAATGTGCCCCTATTGAAAACTACATCATTCATATCACAATGTGAATATGAATAACATGAGTTGTGCCCCAGGGGATGCCAACGATGTGAATGGGGTCCCTGGAGCCATGCCGCGGAGCAGCCCTGGTGCTGTCTGAGAGCTCGTGAGAAGTCCTTCTCAACAGAGATGCAGGCTTGCTGACTGTTGGCTGTTGCTATGACAACCCTGGGGCAGGGACACAGCCCCGCGTGTTCCAGAGGAACCGAACATCCTGTGTTTGAACATCAACACTGAGCCTGCCTCAAGTAAGCAGAGCAAATTGCGACCTAGAATGTGAAGCCAATATTGAAGTCCGCTGACAGCAGAGTATGGAGAGGATGAGTCCCAGCCCAGCCAGTGAGCCTGGGTCACACCATGCCTGAAACCCACCCAGCCACTGAGCTTCTGCTTATGATGCAAACATACCTTAATAGAAGAGTCGAACCACCTCAAAAAAAAAAAAAAAAAAGGCAAAGTTGGAGGACTCACATCTCCCAATTTCAAGATTTACTACAAGGCTCCAGTAATCAAGACAGTGTGGTATTGGCATAGGATAAACATTTAGACCTATGCAATAGAATTAAGAGTCCAGAAATCTACCTTCACATTGGCAGTCGATTAATTTTTGACAAGGCAGGGATCCCTGGGTGGCGCAGTGGTTTAGTGCCTGCCTTTGGCCCAGGGCGCGATCCTGGAGACCCGGGATCGAATCCCACGTCGGGCTCCTGGTGCGTGGAGTCTGCTTCTCCCTCTGCCTGTGTCTCTGCCTCTCTCTCCTCTCTCTCTCTCTGACTATCATAAATAAATAAAAATTTAAAAAAAAAAAGATTTAAAAAAATTTTGACAAGGCAGCAGAGATAATTCAAGGGATAAAGGATAGTTTTTTTTTTCAGCAGTTGGTATGGGGTCAACTGAGTATCTTTATGCAAAAGCATGAAATCCAACCCCTATCCCATACCATAAACAAGTTAAGATAGATTGTAAACCTAAATATTGAAGCAAAAACTATAAATTTCTTATTAGAAAACTTAGGTGTAAAGCTTCACGACTTTGGATTATAGCTTTTGCAATGGTTTCTTAGATGCAATGCCTAAAGACAAGTAGCCAAAGGATAAAACAGCTCAACTGGATTTCATCGAAATTAAAACCTCTTGTTCTTCAAAGGGCACCAAATGAAAGGACAACCCACAGAAAGGGAGGAAATATTTGCAAACACATATATCTGATAATATTTCTATCTAGAATATATCTTAGCACTCAACAATAAAAAAAACCAAATAATCCAATTTAAAAATGAGCAAAGGATCTGAACATTTCTTCAAAGAAGAGATACAAATAACCAATCAGCACATAAAAGATGCTCAACTAAAAAAAAAAAAAAAAGATGTTCAGCAACATTAGTCACCAGGGAAAGGCAAAGCGAAATCACAGTGAGATATAACCTCACACCCCCTAGGATGGCTGAATTACGAAAGACGGATGATACCCCGCGTGGACAGGATGTAGAGAAACTGGAACCCTCACTTCATCATGGGATTGTGAAATCGTGCAGCCGCTCTGGAAAACAGTTTGGCAGTTCCTCAACATGTTTAACATACAGTTACCATACGATTCCGCAATTCTACTCCTGGGTATCTAGCCAAGACCACTGAACTCCTATGTCCACACTAAAACCTGGGCACAAACATCACAGCAGCATTACTCACAATAGCCAAACACCCCCAAACAACCCAAATGTCCATCAACTCATGGATAAAGGAAATGTGGTGTTTCCATACACTGGAATATTATCCAGGCCCCAAAGCGAATGAAGTATTGCTTCATACTATGACATGGATCGACCTTGAAAACATTATGCCGAGTGAGAGAAACCAGATGCAGAATGTACCTTTTTGGGGTGAAGAAATGTTCTGGGTAGTAGTGATGGTTGCCGGGTTCTGACTGAACCAAAAACGCAAACGTGGAGGTTTATGCTTTAAAAGGGAAAATGAAAAAAATAAAAATAAAAAATAAAAGGGAAAATGGTATGGCATGTGGATTGTATCCCAGTAAAGACATTATTAAAAAGAAAAGAAAGACATGCTCTGTGGTCAGTGGAAGCCAGTGTGACAACATGTCCCCTGTACCAAAGCATCGACACAGGGCAGGTGGGGGCCTGCTCCTGGGGGGCAGAGAGACGGGGAAGCCCAGGGAACTCAACCGAGAGTCTGAGCCTTCAACTGAGGACCCTGCAAGAGAGAGGCTCCCTCAGTCACAGAACTGCGGCCTCCCAGAGCACACATGGGAGTGTAAATGTGGGGCCATCCCCGTGGCATCTTGGTATGTTTGTCTGCAGGTGCTTCACATGTATTGTTAGGTGTACAGAGAGCGCATGAATGTTCGTGTGTGTGATGTGCAGGGTGTGGCCAAGAGAAAGGCCAGGCTGGGCAGCAGTTCCTTTGCGCCTCCCTTTGATCCTCCACCAGATGAGAGCTCACTACAAGTTTGTTGAGTGACTAATAGAGACCTCAAGAGCTACTGCCCCAGGAGCCCGTGTAGCCATGGAGGGACAGGCTCCTGGGGGCTGAATGCGAATGCACCATGGGCTGAGCCCCAGGATAGGCCGAGGTTGGAGGCCAGCCTGGGGCGGCAGGGGGTCCTCACCTGAATCAGGTCGAGCTTAGAGAAGAGGCCCATGGTCCTGGGCGCGCTGCGGGTAGAAGGGGAACACTGACGGACCATGCTGTCGATGGCCATTTGCACGTAGTTGAGCAGCTGATTCTGCAAGAAGAAGAAGAGGAGCAGGAAGAGGAGGAGGAAGAGGAGGTTCTGGTCCTCTCCCAGCATCCCCCGACCCCCAGCTTGCTCAGGCAGGAGAAGCCACCTTCTCATCCCAGTCTGTGCTCTCCCCGCCCCCCCCCCCATCCCCACCCCAAGGGCCTTGGATGAGTCCCTCCCAGGTCAGGGCCTGAGCATTCTCCCCAGCCATGAGGGACATTGAATGACCTTCCCAGGGGTCCTCCTGGCTGGAGACACCTGTGGTCCACACCTGGGGCAGGGGCTGGGAAGGGTCATGGAGGAACCCGGAGCCCCTCACTCTGGGCAGCCCTGGAGGCCTAGACTTCAGGTCTTCAGGGCTATGGTCAGTGGTGGCGGCCTTGCTTCCCATCTTGAAGAGAAAGATCCAGAAGGGGCTCTATAAACAGTGGCCAATCCACTCTGGCCACTCAGCCCCTTGGCTGGAGGTCGGCAACATGTAGACCCCAACCCCCTTGTCTTCCAAATTAGGATCACACGGGGACTGAGAGGGCCTTGCATTTGCTGCCCACATTCTGTCCCGGTAGAGTGCACCCCCAGCCTTGGCCCTGGTGTCTTCCCAGCAGCCCCTGGGCCTGGGAGCACACAGGCTCTGGTTTAAGTGAGGACCCAGGGGCCAGAGGGTAACTTGTTCCCATTCCAAAGGCCAGGAAGAAGCAGCTGGAGAGCCCAGAAATCCGGGCCCCTGGTCATGAACTTTGGCCATGACTTCCCCTTTGTGAACATTACTTTTCTCATCTGTGAAATAGATAACAGGTAAGAACCCACCCACGTTGAGGGGTGCCTATCCCAGGATAGGCCCTGGGCTAAGCTCTGCCGGGTGATGAGCACAGAGACTTAACCATTACTGGCGATGGTGCATAATAACCACTCACTTAAATGCCACTGTCCTATCATTAACCACAGGAGGACTGGGTGAGCACCCAGCATACGCCAGGCTCTGGGACTGGGCCGGGGGATCCCAGCTCTGGTTCTTGGCAGAGCTTGGCTCTAAACTCTCTGTGCCTTCAGCTTTCCCAACTGTAATCTCTGCCCCATCTTAGAGAAGCCCCTGCAAAGCAGTCACCAGGGCGAGGCAAGCGGGGTGTGTGATCTGCGTGTGGTGGGGGTGATGCTTCTTGAGGAGACAGCAGCCCCCAGCCCTGCCCCACCCCCATCCCGCAGACTGGACTCACACTGTAGCTGCCCATGTCTTTCTGGGAGGTGACCCGGTGTTCCAATTGCAACCACTGCTTCTGCTGGTGGTGACACCGCTTCTGCAGCTGACACAGTTGGATCTTGAGGCTCTGCGATGGGAGAGGTTGGGTCACCCGGGCACAGCTGGGACATCTGCCCTGGGCCTGGTCCCGCCGCCCCCACCCAGGTGCTCACTGCCCTGGGGAGGTCTGAGCCATGGTGAGGGTGGGCAGAGGGGAAGTTCTGGATCTTCCAGCTGTTCAAGGCATCAGGAAATACCCGACAAGGCTTCCAGGCTGACTGGGGTTTGCATGTTGACTCGCCCTCCCAGAGCCCCCTTTCCTGCCATAACCAGAGCCAAGGGTCTCCCCCCTTGTGGCCTTGGGGGACTGCCCGGAGGGTACCACGAGCAAGGCTGTGGGTGGCCTTCCATGGCTCAGCCTACTCTGCACTGGGCTGTGCTGGCTGCAACCCCTGCGAGGCCCTGTGGGGTGGGTTTGGACATGGGACATACACAGGTGTCCTCACTTCTCGTCTCAGTCTCCTCCCCTGGAAAGTGGGAAGAAGGGTGCAACTGCGTCTAAGATGCGAAATTTAAGGTGGTATCGAAAACTCAGCTTATATTTAAAACGAAGATAAATTAAGATAAATCATATTTTAATCCAATTTTTTAAAAAAATCAAAGTTAGGGTCGCCTGGGTGGCTCGGTTGGTAAAGTATCTGCCTTCGGCTCAGGTCATGATCCTGCGGTCCTGGGACCAAGCCCCGTGTTGGGCCCCCTCCTCAGCAGGGAGTCTGCTCCTCCCTGTGCCTCTGCCCCTGCTTGTGCTCTCTCTCGCTCTCTCTCTCCAATGAATAGAAAATTCATAGTTTTTAAAGACTCATAGTTAATACAAAAATTCCATGAGGGACAAAATATTAACATTTTAAATAAAGATGGGATCCAACGAATGCTCCCCTCGTCTCCCTCTCCCCTTGTCTCAGCCCTAGGAATTAAAACACTTATCTTCAGGTGCTGGGGTGAGATTGATTGATTGATTGATTGATTTTTCTTAAAGATTTTATTTATTTATCCATGAGAGACACAGAGACACGGGCAGAGGGAGGAGCAGGCTCCATGCAGGGAGCCCGACGCGGGACTCGATTCCGGGTCCCCAGGATCAGGCCCTGAGCCAAAGGCAGACGCTCAACCGTAGAGCCACCCAGGCGTCCCTGAGGTGAGATTTAAATGAGGCAAAAAAGCAGGTAAAGTGCATCTCACCCTGCCCCGCCCAACCCTAAAGGGTCCAGTTCTCCCAAGGAAGACAGGTGCAAAGTGCTGTAGGTGTTCAGTGCGGCCACCAGGGGGCAGAGACTCGCCGCAAACATCACGAAATGGCCCTTGGCAAGAACCCAGCCACCCTCAGCCTGCCTCTCCAGGTCCCCTTCCCCTCCGTGGTGGTCCCAGGCCCCAGTCGCAACACGCAGGGTCATCCTGCAAGGCCTCTGCCTGGGCAGTTTCTCCTGGCTGGAATGCCCAGGCCTCCTGGCGAAAGTTCTATTTATTTTAAGATTAACCAAAAAGGAGAGAGGGGGGACTTCAGGGCTCCTACTTGGTACAGCTGGTGTTCAGTGCTCATGGCCACCTACTAACTAGGTTGCATTGCCATGTGACAGATAGGGAAACCGAGGCTCAGAGAGGGTCCACACTTGCGCAGGATCATGCAGCTGGAGACCGAAATGGAACGCGAACTGGTCTGTTTGAATCTAGGACTCGGGGCTTTTCTACCACCAAGAACGCCTTTGAAACAAGCTAAGCTTCTGGAGAAGCCCCGAGCCAGCCAGCAGACAGGGAAAGGTAGGGAGAGAAAGGGCAACAGGACAAGGCTCTGGAGTGTCACCTCTCAGCCCCACCCAGACCCTCTCAGCAGCCCACCGCTGCTCCAAGGCCTCCCCGGGGTGCAGAGGGACGGGCCACCCTCTGTCTCCAGTTCTATGGCCTCAGGGCAAGGGACCAGGCTTCGGAGAGCTGTTACCGGGATAAGAGCCCTGTGGCTCTCCTCTAGAGACTCCAGCCTCTGGCAGATGACCTGTTTCATCTCGGAGAGGGCCTCCAGATGCTTCTGGACGTCCTGGATGACTATGAAGAGCTTCTCGTAATGCTCCACCATGGTCCCCACCAGCGCCTCATCTGGCTCCTCCCCTTCGTAGTGACCTGTGGAGACAGGGCCATGGCGGGATGGGTGGTAACAGACAGCCCAGCCCTCACCTGCCCCCTGCAGGGGTGATGCCCACGACGTGGATGGGACCTACGTCCTGAAATTCCAGCTGGAGCCCACAGTTGAGAGGTGCCAGGCAACCCATGCAGGGCTTACCCCAGGACAGCAGGACCCGTCCGCAGCTGTTCAGCACCATCACCACCTCCTGCCTCTTCAAGAGAAAGGCCACCTGGCAGCGGAGAACCCAGATTCTAGAGCGAGGATGCCCAGCGACGCGGTCCCCAAGGAGAAAGTGCTAACCGCGGGAGCCCGCAAAGACGGGGAGAGGAATTATTGCTGTCGTGAGCGACAGGGTCCCCAGTTTTGGAGGAAACCCATCCTGGATGGGTTGATCAGGGTTGAATTGCCAAATTAGGAAGCTCCCCCCACCCATACTATGAGGTTGCTTTAGAAGCAGCCCTGAGTGCCGAGTCTGCTTCAAGCCCCATGCTGACCCGGAGCCTTCACCCCTCCTTGGCTTGGTGCTCAAAGCTTCCTGATGTTAATCAAATCTCCCAGCACCCCTGCCAGGCCCTGGTGCCCCACTGGAACTCGCCATCCCTCAGTTCACCACGCAGGGCTGTGGCTCCGGCCTACATGTGTGCTGTTCCCTGCACCCGCGATGCCGTTCCCCTTCGCTGAACTCACTTGCGCCCCAGGAGAGGCCGCCTCTTCCATGAAGCCTTCCTGAGCTTCAGGACAGAGTTTTGGAGCCTCTCATCTCCATAGCACTTGTCACAGCAGCTCTGAAGTCAGACCAGAGTCAGACCCAGCGCCACCACTTCCTGGCTGGGCATTTGGGGCAAGTTCCTTAGCCCCTCTGAGCCTGGGTGACAGTGTTCAGAAGCTCATACAGAGGGGTAAAAAAATATTTACTAAAGAACTTAAATAGCTAATAAGCAGTAATAGTTATTGTTGATGATGTTGAGATAATGATAATAAAAATAATATTCGTGGGCAGCCCGGGTGGCTCAGCGGTTTAATGCCACCTTCAGTCCAGGGCATGATCCTGGGGACCTGGGATCGAGTCCCACGTCGGGCTCCCTGCGTGGAGCCTGCTTCTCCCTCTGCCTATGTCTCTGCCCCTCTCTCTCTCTGTGTGTGTCTCTCATGAATAAATAAATAAAATCTTTTAAAAAATAATAATATTTGTTCCCCTGCCCTTTCCTAACAAGTTTCTGGCACTGACAACAGCAGGCTCCGGGACTAATCAAGATAAAACAAAACACAAAGCCCATTTCTGGTGTCCGTGCAATTTTTGTCAATAACGGCAAAACAAAAAACAAAACCAAGGACACGCAAAATCATGGCAATCATAGCCAGCATTTAGTGGGTCGTGATCCACAGCACGGGCTTATGAAGGATGAGTTCGTCCGACCCGCACAACAGGTGCTGCTCCCCTAGTCACAGAGCAAGAAACCGGGACCTGGGGAACTCGCCACAGCCCCCCGCCCCGGCAGCGTTGGTGGCTCGCTCAGCACCTGTGCCCCTCAAACCCCCGCGGCATCGGCCTCCGTGGGTCTTCATTCTGCAGACGGAGTCTGGGCTCACTCTGGTCCCCAGCCTGGAGCGGCAGCAGAGAGGAAGGGCCATACGTACCCTTGGGGATTTTCTCAAGGACCTTCATCAGGTAGTCTTCAAAAAGCTTGTGCTTCTCCACCTCTCTCTTCAGCCTCCTCTGCCTGCAGAGACATCTCATGACAGCAAGAGCCAGACCCAGGAACGTGGTTTGGGGGCTCCCAGGCCGTGACCTCTTGCAAGGCCACTCTCCGTGGATCGCCTGTGTAGACCTGCGCTGGCCGGGCCTCTCCACCCCATTTCCTGCCGAGTAAACTGAGCCACAAATCGAAGGAAGAGCTGCCATGGTCAGGCCATGAGGAAGGGGCACGGGGAGGGTGGAGTCCAGCCCTTCGGGTGGGACCTGGCCAGGGGCCTCACTCCTGTGCTTGGGTCTGTAAGGACAGTAAGGAGAGCCCCTCCCTCTCAGGCTGGCCCAGACCATGCGTGGGGCTCCCAGGACATAGTGAGCCCTCGATCCGAGGTGGGGGGGCCCAGCACCCCTGGAGGGGGGACGACCGTGTGCTGCTGCCCGTCCGTGCAGGCCCAGGCCAGCCCCCGAGCAAGCCAAGTCCCTGGTAGGCCGTCTGTTCTGAGTTCAGTCAAGAGCAGCGGTCAAGGGCTGAGGCAGAGCGGAACCTGCCCTGGCCGGCTGGCTGAGCCTCCAGGGAAGTGGGGGGTGACTGCTCAGCACCCCAAGGCAGGCCTCTGACTCTCGGGCCCCACTGGACTGTACCCATTCGGTCCTGGAGAAGGCTGGGAAAACCCATCTTGCCCCACAAATACCATGTGGACCCTGCACACCACGGTGCTAAGCCTCAGTGGGGTCGGAAGCCCTACTAGAATCTGATGGCAGAGTTGGACCTTTTCTCCATAAAATTGCTCAGAGACACAGCCTTTTGTATCTGATTCAGGCTTTCACGGGGAGCCCGAAGCTGACAGGCTGCCTGAGGGGTGAGGACCCAGGGGTGGGGGTGGGGGGACAGCCTTGCGGGTTGACTTTAGAGGGGCTGAGCTGACAGGTGCAGGGGAGGGCCACCGGCAGGCCTGCCTCCGTGACAGGAGACTAAGCCCACAGGGTCCGAGCTCGAGGGGCAGGAGCCCAGCCGCCCACTGCCCTCCCCACTGCTGTCCCTCCTGTTTACGTCCAGGGATCGCCCCCTCGTCGTCCCCTCCCTGCCTGGCCCCCAGGTGCATTTGCTCAGTTCCAGCCCCTTAGCCCACTGTGGGTGGTACTGGGCCTGGCGCAGGGGCACAGCGGGGCCTGGCACGTCTCGTACTTTGCCTGGAGCCGCCAGAGTTCCTGTAACAGCACCTGCAGGTCCCTGTGTTTGTCACCGGTAGAGCTGGGGCCAGCCCCCTGGTCGGTGTCCATGGCCACGGCGTCGCCCCTCACCACCGTCGTCCCGCTGCAGGACGGGGCCCACGTGGGCCAGGTGGGAAGAGGAGGGACAGCAGCGGCAACCGGCAGGGCGACAGTTTCTCTCCTGATCTCCGCAGCTGTCCCCCGGAAGCCAGGTCACATCCCCACTTCATGGAAAAGGAAACAGAGGCTCAGAGGGGGCTGGTGACCAGCTCAGGGACATACAGCAGGACTGGATATGGACTTGAGGCCCACTGAGGCCAATGTCTGGGGTCTTTGAGCTACGCCCCCAGCCCTGGAGAGGCCGGATTTGCCTTTGTCGTAGTGGCGTTATTGCGCTGGCCACCCTGTAACTGGGACGACCCCATCACCACAAGTCCTAAGGGCGCCACGACGCCCGGGACTTCCAACAGGTGATTTCCAATAGTGTTCGGGAGATGGTCCCAGGGCCAGGGCTGGGGGCTGGCTCCGAAAGCAGCGCTCGTGGGGAGGAGAGCTTGGTCCCTGCCCTAGCCCCGGCCTCCACCCACTCGTGCATTCAGCAACATCACATACTCGCGTGTGCAGAGCTCGGCAAAGCTGCGTGGGGGCCGAGACAGACGCTTTGAATGAGCTCGTGGTCCGGCTGGAAGGTTGCTACCTAACGGTTGGTTTCCGCACAGCCTGGCAAAGAGCTCCCGGACCGCTTGCCTACGCCTGGTTCCCAGTTATGGCCCAAAGGAGAAGAAAGTCTCCCTAGGCCTGCCATGCATTGGCTGCCTGCTAGACCAGCACAGGGACAGAGCAGAGAGAGGAGGGAGGGGCTGCACGGTCAGCTCTGGGTCCCAGCATCAGACCTGGGGACACGAGCACGGGGAAGGAGCAGGGGCCCCACTGCACTCACTAGTGGCTCCAGGAGCACAAAGCTACTGCTGGGCTGTGACCTCATAATCCATCCCCGGCCCAGGGCAGGGGGCAGAGCAAGGTGAAGGAAGCTTCAGGTCCTCAACTTGGGACCTGCCCTTGCCTTATGGCAAGGGTCTGTAGCATTTGGGGGAGCTGCCCACCCCCTGATGCCCCAACTATAAGCTGTCCAGGCCTCCCCCCAGAAAGGCCCCCATTCAGTCAGAGCCCTACAGAGGGCAGCCTAGGGAGTCATCGCCTGAGGCAGGGGTTTCACTGGGAAGAAGGCTCGGGCAGAGAGGGACCACGGTGAGGGCAAAGGAGGGAGGAGTCTGGACAGGGGCTGGGGTCATAGGTGAAAGGGCACCGGGTAGGGGCAGGGATTGGGGCCAATGCAGGGGCACACAGGCCCCGCCGGCCCAGAAGTCCCCGAGCAGGTCTCAAGGGAGCTGTGTCTGTCTGTTGTCCATGGTTCAAGAGCCTCTCAAACTTCTGATGAGCATCAACGGAGAGACGAAGGTGAGCGGGGCCTGGTTCTGGCCTTGGATTCATGCAGGGGAAATGCTGGTCATAGACACAGGGGTCTGGGGTCTGAGCTTGCCTGGAGAGTCAGCAGAACCAGCTTCCCTACCCCCAAGAATCCGGGCCTTAGAGAAGGCAGCCAGTTGGCTGAGCCTGGTCATGTGCCCGTCCCCTGGCTTGACCGACAGTCACATCCTAGGTGCTGCCCTGGGGGCTGGAAGTTGCCCAGAGCAAACCCCAGGCGGTGGATGGCGGGAGGCTGGGAAATGGGTGCTGAGCAGGTGCTTGGCTCACAGAGGCTCAGGGAAGCCCAGGGAGCTTGGACTTTATCCTGAAGACGACAAACAGCTGAAGGAAGGAGGGGCACGGTCAGATGGGCGTTCTGGAGGCAACTCCGGGCTCAGTGGAGGTGAGACTAACATCTGTCAGGACACTCCTAAGGCTTTCCGTGCAGGGCCTAATGTCGTGTGGCATGCCACGAGGCCCGAGCTGTTCTTTCACAGTGGGGAAACTGAGGCCCAAGAGACACCTGCCCACCACCTCGCTGTTGGGAAATTGCTGAGCTGAGCTGTTAATCTAGGAAGGCAGGACTCCAGAGAGTCTGGGAGGTTGGGTTGCCGGGACTTGGATACTGATCCAGTGGGGATCCCACAAGCCAGGACATGAGGCAAGGGGGGCTGCTCCCAGAGGGACCCCATTAACTCTCTCTGGGCGCTATGCCTTCACTTGTGAGGGTGACAATTGCCCTCCCCTGGCCCTAAGCAGGTGCAGGAGCTGCCTGGCCACCTCATCTCTCCCCCGGCTCAAAAACCCTTAGGACCGCTCATTGAGGGCTCTAAACTACTTGACCCAGGATGGCCACAGGCAGGGGTTGTGGGTTTGAAGGAACAATTTGCTTCCCGTAATAATTTTATTTTTGGCCTCAAATGTCCCACACCCACACGAGGCTGGGAGACAGACTGCCGGGGCTCTGGAAACCTCTCTCCCTGTCAGGCCCCAAAGAGTGACTCTGCCATGATGACCAGGGAGTGAAAACTATCATGGATTTACCGCTGCCTGGTGCTTTGCTGGGAGTCTCTCACTTCTCAGAAAGATCCTCCAAGGGGGCACCTGGGTGGCTTAGTGGTTGAGCGTCTGCCTTGGGCTCGGATCGTGATCCCGGGGTCCTGGGATCGAGTCCCACATCGGGCTCCCTGCATGGAGCCTGCTTCTCCCTCTGCCTGTGTCTCTGCCTCTCTCTCTCTGTGTCCCTCATGAATAAGTAAATAAAATCTTAAAAAAAAAAAAAAAGATCATCCAAGGCACTAGCAGCATGGCTCCATTTTGCAGAGGCCAACACTGAGGTCTCTGAGGCAAAGGAACTTGCCCAGGCTCATGGCTAATACCTGGTGGCAGGGCTGGCTACATAATTCATGGAGCCTAGTGCGACCTGAAAGGGATGGGCTCCTTATTTTAAAAAAGTAAGAACTTCAAGACAGCAGTGGTGGAACACAAAACCAGGGCTGGGTTCTTCTGAGCGCGGCCCGTGCGTAGGCGCTCGGCGACAATTTGAACTCATGTCTCGAGATTCCAGCACCTGTTAGTTAACTCCACCCCAGCCCGCCTCAGCCTCTGCTGGGCTCTGGCTCTTCCTCTTCTCCTCCCCACCTCTACGCCCACCCACAGGCTGCAGACCCCACTGTTCCCTGATTAGGGGCAGATTCATGGTGCTGCAAGGAACTTTAAACCAGAAAAGAGGATCAAGGTGGAGAAAGGCAGGGACCCCCCACACACACACCTCCTCTCTCCCCTGTGCTGTAGGGAGGAAAATCCAAGACAAGGCTGTCTGTACAGATAGCTGACAACCTTGGGACTGGGGGTGCGCATTATGGGCAGAACCACAATTAAATGGCAATAGAACCCCATTTTTAAGGCCTTAACAAGGACTCCTGGGGCTGGAATTTGACCCCAGGGCTTGAGTCTCCCAGGGCAGCCAACAGGATGGCCAGATCAGGCCTCCGGCCCAGAATTCCAACCCTGCCTGCCCTGCAGCCCCAAATGCCTCCAGTAGGGACAAGACCAGCCCTTGCCCAGCCGTGCATGGGTGATGCTCAGGATGCAGACTGAGGCTGTGCAGCCAAGCAGGGCTACCACCTGTGTGGCCTTAGGAAAAGCACACAACCTCTCGGAGCCTCTGGTTTAAATGTAAAGTGCAGGGTCGCCTTGGGGTTGAGCATCTGACTCTTGATTTCAGCTCAGGTCATGATCTCAGGGTCCTGAGACGGAGCCCCACCTTGGGCTCCACGCTTAGCATGGAGTCTGCTTGAGATTCTCTCTCTCTCTCTTCCTTGGCTCTCCCCTCCTCCACCGTTGTGCCCTCACTCTCAAAATAAATAAATAAAATCTTAAAAAAAAATAAATAAATAAGGGCAGCCCGGGTGGCTCAGCAGTTTAGCACCACCTTCGGCCCAGGGCATGATCCTGGAGACCCGGGATCGAGTCCCACGTTGGGCTCCCTGCATGGAGCCTGCTTCTCCCTCTGCCTGTGTCTCTGCGTCTCTCTCTCTCTCTCTCTCTGTCTCTCATGAATAAATAAATAAATAAAATCTTAAAAAAATAAATGTAAAGTGGAGATAATTATAGTACCTAGAATGAAATGACATCATCTACATCGAACAGTTGGCATCATCTCATTTTTGTCAAAACAACCTATGTGTGTGTGCATGGAAGAAAGTCTAGGAGGGTATAGATGAGATTTTTAGGGCTTATTTCTTATTTTAGGGGCAGGAGGTGAGGGGAAATTATTCTATGACCGTAACTCTGAGAACAGCAAGCAGCACAGTGCCTGGCACATAGTAGGAGTTCAATCAGCCTTAGTTTGGCTCCTGACCTTCCCTTCTCACTGCCTCCAGGTTGTGACAATTGTGGTGACCCCCTAGCACAGGAGTCTTTTCTAAGAGCCTTGGGGCCGGGGTTGGCTGGCAAAGTGGCTTCAGGGAAGCTGTGTAGTATGCGTGAACCTGCATGGCTTAGGGTTGGAGCAAGGAAGACAAGCGTAGCCTATTGGTTTTGCCTGAATTTTGCTAAGACCTGGCTCTGCTCAGTGTCCCACTCCCCTACTGAGACAGGGTCTCCGAGATGTATTCCTATCCCCGGCTTCCCACCCGAGGTACTGAGGAGGCAAAAAACCAGAGTAGCCCAGGGCCCAGGAAGCAGTGCTATGACGGCTCCTCCTCTGAGGCCCCCAGCCCAGCTTCCGCCCTCCTGCTTGCCCGGCACCAGGGCAGGGCCCAGGTCCCTGAACGGGGCGGTCACCCCCAGCAGGTCCTGGGACCCCCTGACACCGTCTCTGGGGCAGCTCTCTGAAGGCTGGCCCTCTGAGGAGGGAGGACGCAGACCCTGGCCATGGCCCCTGGATACCCAGGGGAGGCCGGACCTTCCAATGTCTGTGATGCTGACACCCGGCTCCCCTCACTCCCACCTGCAGCATCTTGGAGGAACCACCCTCCCGGGAAGAGGTGTGGGGAGGGGCTGCTCGACCTCAGGCACCTGGCTCTGCCAGGCAGCCAGGGATGTCGTTAGCTTGTCCTCTCAGCCCCCAGCAAGAATCTTCATGGCAACGCGGGGAA